TTCTGCCCTTAGTGAGAGCCTTTAAAAACAGATGGATGGGACAGCTTGCTTTCTGTTTCTACAGCTTCCCATAGACTTGTATATGAGCTGTTGGCGCTGACCCAGACTGTATCCAAGCTTTGTCTTTTGTCTGCTTTTCTCCCCTTCTTTTGCTCATTTTTTCTACCCACAAAAGCATTCTGAAGTGGAATCCAATTCACACAGATGTAGAATAGTTAGTATTGCTGTTGCTAGTGGGCTGGTTTCTTCTTTAATTTGAACCAAGTTCTAATTAGGCCACTGCAAGCTGAAGCTCTTTGGTAATAACTAGAGGCAAGAAAGCTCAAAGTGGCAGGGTTCTGAGGTAAGCACAGTGTAGATCAGCAGAAGTCCTGAAATGTACAAGTAAACTCAGATGTGTGAGACACCTGATGATAGAAAATCCTACCAAAGAGTAAGTAATTGTATTTTGCTGTACCAGTTCTGTTCTTCAGAATTAATTGCATGTGGGATTTTGCATGGTCTTTCATTTAAAACTGGATAAATACTTTTGATTTTCAAATTTGGCCCCTGAATGTGTCCTCTGTTTGCTGACTGATCTTTGCTAGTTTTGAGGTTTCCCATTTTCCAGAGCAGACTGGGGACTGCACACAACCGTCTTGACCTTGTATGTCAAGAGGCTTAGTTAACTAGAGCTGGTTTTAAAAATGTTCATGAGAGGTTCACACAAGGGTTTAAAAATTCACATCTTTGGGTTTTTATATTACAGGGTTGAATCACTCTCCTATTTTAATGGGTTTTCTTGTGGGCTTTTTTTCCCCATGATCTGCCAGCTCAAGTCTTTCATGTTATAAAATCATCTGCTTTTTGCACACTAGTAATTAAACAATGGGAAGTTTTGTTAAATGTTTATGGAAAATAGTGGTCATCACAGCTAATCAGGTTTTTATATCATGACATGGGACGCTGCAGTGTTCCATCTGGAGAAATGGTTGATGGTTTACAAGTTTGTTCACAGGCAGCTTGAGTACTTGATACCAGACAGTTCTCTAATAGGTGCTGAGCAGTGAAATGCAGAACCTCAGCAATACTTGGTCATGCACATCCCTTACTAAATTTTCCATTTAACCTCCACTGATAGATACATATGGTGTACTTAATCCTTCCTCCTTGCTTCTCTCTAGATGTGGCAGCAGCAGGTTGCAGAGGGCCTGACTGGGGGCAAAATGGTCAGAGTTCTGCCCTACTCTTCTCAAAGCAATATTAAAGTTGCTTAGCCAGGGGCAGCTTACTGACTTGAGTGTATATCAAATGATAGTGATTATGGGATGTTTTTAACCTTTAAAATAATTACCTGTTCTTTTGTTTTGTTTTGCCTAGCATCACTTTATTCCTTCTTTCCAGGCTAAATTGTCCCTTTTTGGAGACTGTTTTGGGCTGCCTGCAAGCTGGTGGTTCTCTACAAGTAGACTGGTTCTCTACTTCAAATGCCTTACCAGAAACTTCCATCTCCTTTTTTCTTGGCAGGTAAGGGCGAAGTTCTTGTGTGCTTTGCTTCTTGAAAAATGTCAGTGGTGTCATATGGTGTGCTGAGAGATGGCCCCAAAAACACTTCCCATCAGCCTTACTCATAAGTCACATACCCACTGAATCTGCTTTCTGTTAGTTTTGTGTATTGTGTTGCATTAGACATGTCCCATCAGGAGCTTTATGCATAATGCAAAAGATTTAAGCCTCCTGAAAGGTCAATCTCTACAGGTATGAGGCTCCCAGTCACATTTCCTGCAAGCCTTGGGACAATATTTTAGAGTAGGATTATTTGGCTTGATGTTTTTTTAAGCAGATATGGACGTGCTGACGTTATAAATGCTACTATGGTGGCAAGAAGGGTGAAGTGAGAACTCCATATGTGAGAGCTCTGTAGCACCACACTGGCTTCCCATCATGGCTATGGCTTTCCATTCATGCCTAAGGGAAGGAGGTAGAAAGAAAACCCTAAAAATAAGTGTGGTAAAGTTGTGTTGATTTTCTTTTTTTTTTTTTTTTGGTGGTGTATTTTGGTTTGATTTTTTTAATCAAAACTTTAAAGAAGAAATAATAAAAGAAAAAAATAAAAAGCTGTGCAGCAGTCAGTGGTTTGCTGGAAAACTGTATAAAGCATTTTTGTGGATCAAAAAGTTCTGATCTTCCCATCTCAAACTAGGGATGGGAACAACAGCCACTCCCTTACTGAGCAGATGATGGGAACTGTGAACAGTGAACCGAGCCAGCAGTTACCTGTAGGTCATGCTGGGAGACTCAAGCCCTGTGCTGCTGCTGGAACTGTTTTGCATTCCCCTCCCTTTCTGGGATGAGAGATCATATAATCCCTTTAGGTGGAGCTGAGTGAATTTCCTTGTAGCTGTCTTCCATGAGCAGATGGAAATCTTTCCCTCTTGGGATTGTTTGTAGGCTCACCTCTGACAAGCTACCTCTTCACTTGCCCTCTTTTATCCAGACACATGCCCGTGTTACTGCATAAAGTTTTGATGTATGGCTGTATCCATTATTGTTCCCATTTTCATTTCTGCTCAAGCTACGTCAGCCTTTCCAGAAAGGCATAGTTTCCCCATCTGGTAATCAGCTGTGGAGATGCAATCGCAACTCCAGTTAGGACTAAGTCTGATTTGTGTTTAATATGAGATTTTTGAACAACATTTAAACCTCCAATGATTCAAGACAGTATTTTTTGTTGTTTTGGTTGTATAAATGGGAGCTGGCAGTGGGCTGGTGTCTCCTTACAAAAGGTCAAGCTTTAAGTGTAGTTTACTCCAACTTATACATTTAGTACAGAAACATAGTCCTTAGATGTGCTGATGGTAAAAGTGATTTTTAAAAAATATAATAAATTGGCATCTGTCCCACAAAATTCCAGTACTGAGGGTATTTCTCATCCTGAAACAAATGAAAGTTGAAATCTGGTTTTGTGTTTAATTGGAAACACAGGAAATCTAAAAGTGCAGGTTTGGAGGTGGTGTTCAGCTGGCTCCTTCAGAACAGCTGCAGCACCTCAGGCAAAACATTATCTTAGTCCTGCAGCCTGCTGCCATCCTCCAAGAAGACCTGCCCACCATGAATGTGTTTCCCACCACATAGTACAGTGGGTGACCCAGCAAGGAGGGTGAGAAGCAGCATGGGTAAGAGTCGAAGAGGACAGGAACTCAACTAAAATTTCTGGGGGTTATTAATAGTTTAGAGGAGGAGAGCCAACTAGTGTTGCACATGGCAGTGCCAAAACCTTCCTCTTTGGATCGACAAATGAAAAGAATTCCTAGCCCAGAAACAGCTTTGGAATTTTTTTTTTCAGTTGAGAAACAAAAGCAAATGGATCAATGTTACATAGAACATAACACATCTGTTCCCAAACTGGATCAAGCAGTGGAAAGATAGAAATACTGCTGGTGTTATAGTACACTTCAAGTAAACAAAGGGCCACGAAAGTCCTGTGTGCTTTCTACTAATTTTTAAACAGTAACAATGCCCTGGCACATTTCCTGTGCTGTACAAAGTCAGTCTGTGTCTGTCCTCCAACACTTACAGATAGACAGACAAATTGGTATTGGTCAATATTTTTGCTTTGTGTTTTAATAGGATGAGGTGACTGACCCTGCACTGGCACCTTAGCACACCTGCTGTCCGCAGACTCCATATGGGAGAGTGCTCGGAGTCCTCCCATACTCCTCCTGCAGCCATTCACAACACGGACTGATTCCAGCAGGTCTGATCAGGAACATGAGTGAGAGTCTTGATTGTTGAAGACTTTTTCCATTTTAACATTTAAACTGTAAGTTCTTAAAACTCTAACAAGTTTATTTATGCTTTCTTGTTTTGGAGGAGACGAGAAATTCATAGTTTCAGCTACCTCTGAGGACCTGAAGAAATCTGTTTTCTGGAACCAAATTGTTACCCAGCAGTACAGGAAGCCTGGAGCTTAACAGAATAGATAGTTACTCAATGTCTTTTAGCTTTTTGGTGGCCAAGGCTCTGTGCTTTGCTAAAAATCTACTAAATAAAAGACAAGCACACAGTTCCTGAAATGCTGTTAGTCTTGAAGCTAAGAAGACTTGTTTTCTGTTTGAATTTCCAGCTGTGGTAGAATTCTGGTACCTTGAGGCACCAGGCAAGGCCTTGAGAGACCCCAGAAATAGTATAGGCAGAACTTGCACTTAATAGCTTTTGCAGTAGATGTGCTCCAACATGAGTTGCTGTTTGTTTGAGATCCCCTGCTAAAGGAGCAGCTGGTAGTGTTCTACAGGGCCTCATTTTATTGTGTTTCAAGCCTTGAGGAAGGCCACAGATGCTGATAGACCTGTCAGTGTTTAGTAAACAATAATGGCTTTTTATGCTCTTATATTAAGCCAAGTCGTTCGAACCTGCATTTTTAACTTTTAGCAATCAAAAAACTGCATGTTAACCGATAACAGACTGGTGAATTTGTACCTTGAACTGGCTTGGGCTTTTTTTATTTTTTTGGTTAGGATATTTAGAGTACTTTATCTCTGCCCTAGATTGGGAAAATGTCAAAGAAAGTCAGTCATTCAGTAAGTTCTTGGCATGTTGCAAGATGCATCATGAAACAGTTCAGGTGAAGAGGTTTGAAGTAGAGGGAGTCGGTTTTGGTTTTAAGATTTTGAGATCACCTTAGTAATGACATGCTTTGGCTCTTTGCTTAGGGACAAAACATCTTGAAAATGGGCAAAGAGTTTCACTAAAAGCAAGGTACTCAGGTATGTGCTTTCCAGAATGAATATTTGGACTACAATCTCACAAGCGTTAATTAACTATATTTGGCACTTTTGTTAGCAAAGGAGTTTAACAGCTTAGCCAACCCTGTTGAAAAAAAAACCAAACAAAAAACAGACTTTCTGGTCCTACATGCATAAATGGTCATGGCTAAGATGCCTCATCCGTGTCCAACTCCTAGGCTCTGCATTAATTTTATAGAAAAAATATTTTGGAAATAATTTTTTATTGTTGTGAAAAGATACCGGCATGTCCATATGTATACACACACACACAAAGAAAATATCACTGTATATACACTGAAATACCTCATACTCAGTGTAACCAAGCCTCTTCTCAGCTTGTGCATAGAAAATACTAAAAATACATTTAAAACATGCCTGATCCCAGCTGCCATCCAGTGCTGCACTTAGCAGGAGCAGCACTGAAGCTCCCAGGGCTGGTAGGTGAGCTGCACAGAAACGAGTCACAAGGTGATGCCTACCCTGAGCCCAGTAGTTCTCTGCTATGATCACAGGCCCTGGTGTTACAGGATGGCTCAGCCAGTCTGCTGCAGGGCCAGGAGGAGTGGGCTGTGCCTCAGAAACTCTGGACCAGCTGCTCTGACAGCCCTTGGGCCACCCAGTAGAATGGGGCCTCTGTTTCATAACATCTGGTCACAAAAGTGTTGAGCAGCACCATATTACTTATTGCTGTCTGGCATCATTTTGGCTTACAGTGGTTTCTATAAGCATTTCTTAGACAAATGTGTGGCTCTGATACCCATCCCCTGCCACTCAAGGCAAGAAGGTTCCACACCAGTGATCCAGTGAGGTTCTCTGGGACACGTAGAAGAATTGCATTGAAGTATTCAGTTATTTAGCTAAGCTGCCTACAGACAATTATTAAGTAATTCTCACTATTAATAAAAGTACTAAAGATACTAAAAAGTATCAGGTAACTGTTGGCACGTGTGGGCCGAGAACTAGAGACATCGTAGATATAAATAACTTGGCCATTTTTGCTTGCATAAGCTAATGTGATCATAATTGTGCCCTAACCCTGACAGCTGTGTTAATGCCTTAAATGAGAGTCACTGGGTGACTGAACAGAGCCCCAACACACCTTAACATGTAGTCAGAACTCTCTTCATAACTTGAAGATAAAACTCTGTTTCCGTAAATCTCAAGTTATTTTAAAATGCTTCAGGCCGACTTCTTCTGTTTAAGGAATTCTGTGCTAAACTAAGAACAACCTCACTTTTCCCCTTCCCCACAGAAAAGTGCTGCAATCTACTAAATATGGATGCACTTGTACTACAGCTTGATTTGAAAGGGAGGCTATTGCCCAGTTCAGTAAAGAAAATACAAGTATTAGTTGGCTCAATTCAACACCAAGTAAACACTAAATACAATATATATAAAAGGATGGGCACGAATGCCACTGTAGCATTTCATCATTAAAGCTAGCCATCTTTCTATTTCAACGATTAAATCCATGATGAAAATAAGCTGATAAGGAAACACACAACAAATAAATAATGCATATTAACTTACAAAATATGAAACCAATTATCCACATACAAAAAAAGGTCAGTGTTAGTCACTTAAGCCTCACAGAACATTTGTATGATAGAAGCCCTTCAGTGCCTCAGTTGGTGTGTCTGCCAGAAACAGCTGGAGAACCAACCATCCTGGCTTTAAAGACACTGTACTGCACTGCAGCAGAACTGCCCTGCCTTGCCAAGGCTCCCCTGGGGTCACAGGCAGTGGGGATGCTGATTGCTGGGGAGAGCCCTCAGGACGCCTGCAGGCTCAGTGCTGTCGTCTGTTTTGCTAATGCCAGGTGGCAAAACATACATCAGGCATCTGTACAGAAGGAAGGTTTTTCCAGTGAAGTTATGTTTGTGTTGATAATGGGAATATTTTAAAATAATGCTAACATAATTCTAGCACAATAGTTCTCCCCTACAACTCCTTCCCTCGCAAATCAAATATTTCTTTCCACTAGTGTTTCATACCCATGAAATCACTACTGGAGCCTCCAGTGAGGGGATAAATGCCAGACAGGGATTTTCAATGAGCATTTTATTTTGGTTGTGCATGTATCTTCTCTTACCCGAGGAGATTTTTTTGCCTTTGTGTACAAAACTTTCACTGTCCATTTTGGAGTTAAAGAAAAATGAACTTTCATAACCTCTGCCACTTCTGATCACCTCTCAAAAATGTCACTTTACACGGAAAAGCCAGAAGTAATTGAGATAAACAGACATCTGTACATTTTAGTCATTCATTTAGAAAACATCTGTATCCATCCATGCAATGTTAGCCCATGAGCCCATTGCTGTGGCAACAAGGTAGTCTTTATCTCCCACGTGTATTCTATCAATTTTTTTTTTCTTAAAGCAGCTTCCTGAAATGAAAAACAGAGAAGGAATGATTAAGCTCATCTCTTTCAAACATTGGATTCAAGGCTTATATAAGAAAGCCCTTATTACTTTCCAGCTGTGGAAAATTCAGACGCTGATGCTTTTCAAGATGAAAAAATGAACTACTGACATGGAAAAATGTGAACTGCTGTTATTTTCAATTAAAAAAAATTATAGCTGAAGATCTGAGAACATAAGCTGTTTGCTACTGTAGCTATTTTTAACAGAATCCCAAGGAATTTTACTACAGTATCTTTCAAACTAACTCAGCAAGCTGTGATTTGCTGCTTGCTACAGTGGGAGTTCATGAGAGTGTGTATGCTAATAATTAATTCCTTGATGACCTTCTTCTTGCTTAGCTTTCATCAATGCACACAGCTCAGATTGGTTAATTGTTTGGAATTGTAAACTTTCTATGATGGTAGAAGCCCACCATACCGGACAGGATCGTACTAGTGATCTGTCAGGTTTTGGTTTAGTTGCCTACTCAAGATAACTAACTCAAGATAAACTAACATGCTTTCAAAATTTCTATTTTAAGTAGAACACTAGGCAATGGGAAACACATTAGAAGAGTTAAGAAGGTTCTATCTATGCTTTCAAGGACCTAAACTGATGTTAGAGCTCTGACACCCATTAACTTTGGGATTCCTCTTCGCTGTTTTTAACATACTTTCTGGGGCTGTCTACTTTTAACAGTGATTATTAAGTATTTTAAAAGGGTTGAACCTCTTCAAAAATAATGTTGAAATCTTAGCCTTTAGTGTCCCAGAGTTTCTAGACTCTTAAAAATATACTGTAATGTAGTAAAGGCCACAGGAGAAAACATCAAAGGAGTTAGATATGCAGACAAGACATTTCACTCACATTTGATGCTGCCTAACAAACTCTGCAAACTGACGATCTTTAGCGTAGAGCTCTATAATTCGAATTCTGTCCTGGATCTCCTACAATACAAGACACAGAATGGTAAGTACATAATAGAAACTAGAATACTACTGAAATAGCTGTTTTCTGGTTTTTGGAAAATAAAACTCCTATGCATTGTTGCTGCAAGGAGTAGAGCTTAAAACCATGCACTCCAACACTTTGTGGGTTTTTTTTGTTTGTTGTTGTTGTTTTGGTTTTTGTTTGTTTGTTTGGTTGGTTGGTTTTTTTAAGTGAAGCACTTCATTTGAATTCAGTAATACTTTACTTTTAAATCAAAACCAGGGTTTGGACAGAATGTGTTATTTCAACAGGCTTTAACAAACCATTTATCTCTCGCAGATACTTTGCCTACCAGTCCAGTTACATGGTGGATTCACTCCTCTCACAATTTCTTAAGGATATGTGGTTAGTTCCAGGATGTAAATAAATCCCTTCTTTTTAGCTTTCTAGAGTAAACCTTGGATACTGTGTATTCAGGAAGAAAGGAGAAGGATGTGATCTAACTTGCAGGTTATAGAAAGACCTAAACTTTAAAAAACATCAAAAAGTACCCAAAACAAAAAACCCTGTGAAAAGACCTGGATGTACCAGTTTTTCACTGTGTAACTCCTCTTACATAAGATAGTTAGCATTAAAAGGTAAAGGCTGTATTGAGCAACACATTAACCTTCCCAACTCCGGTGAAGTCACTTAAAGAGTCAGCTCCTTTTTCATGTGAAATTCATTACAGGTCAGAACAAACCCATTCCTTTCTCTATACCTAAAAGCAAGCAGGGAAAAAAAACCCTTTCTGTCTTCTCTTAAGTAGTTGCAGCAGTCACAGCTGCATTTTGTTTATCCAGAGCATAGACACTGGGGAAAGACTGGGCCCACCTCGGAGGTTAGAAGTGTGGAATAAGCTTACTGCTTACATGATCTTTCCCATGACACTGTGAAAATAAGATCATTTACCTCCTTAGTAAGCTCACTGTTTTCATAAATGTGCCTGATCTCTTCACTGCTGTAGTCTGTGGATGTCTCTGCACTGGTAGAACTGTAGGACGTTAGCTGAGGATATCTCCGGTAATAATGGCTGTACCCAGTCGTATCACTTTCATACATGGGGTTGTATTTAACTGCATTCTCAATGGACGAGAGGCTGTCACCCTGCCTGGGGGAGCAATAAACAAACTGTGAGCTTCTCTGCAGCCTGGAAGGGCAGCAGATAGACTCAGGAAGCCTGGCATTTGGAGGTGCCTGTACATCCTGTTGCTTGTCAACTGTGTGATATAAGACTTCTGACAGAATTATCCTTATTGCAGCTGATGTGTTCTAAAGTATTAGACGGTGTCACTTACCCCTGTGAGTCACCGCTGTCACTCTTTGTATACTGGTCTCGAAGGGTCCTGGCCAAGAAGAAGATGACAGCAGATGCCACAAGAAGAAATCCTGCCACGGAAGCAATTGCAATACCCACAACCAGTGGCTCAGACACATATTCTTCACAGTGCTCCCCCCTGTACCACCAGTTTTCTCCCACACGACACCTGCCGCAAAGAAACACAGGGAAATTAAGCACCAGCAAAATCTTTTATTAATGTATTTAACTTCCCATTAGGGTGTGCCTACAGTTAAGTCACCTCAATAAATACGTTTGCATTGTTCAATCACCAATTTTCTTCATTATTATTATTGCAAACGTTCTTTTTGGTATAGAATCATAAAACAGTTTTGGTAGAAAAGGACCTTCAAAAGCCATCTAGTCCAAACCCCTGCAATAAGCAGGGACATCTTCAACTACACCAGGATGCTCAGAGCCCCATCCAATCCAAGTGTGGGGCATCTATCACCTCTCTTGACAACCTGTTCCAGCGTTTCCCCATCCACATTGTAAAAAATTTCTTCCTTATATCTAGTCTAAGTCTACCCTCTCTTAGTTTAAAACCTTGTCCTATCGCAACAGACCCTGATAAAGAGTTTGTCGTCATCTTTCTTATAAGCCCCCTTTAAATATGGAAAGGCCATAGGAAGACCTCCTAGGAGCCTTCTCTTCTCCAGGAGGAACTACCCCAATTATTGAATTTAATGAAGGTAGGTAAAAGAGTAAAAGGGTAATGTATTTGTGATGGAAAAAGTCAGTGGTTTTTTGCAGTTTAGAGTATCCTATGATTTGTTAAAACTGGAAGGTATTTAGACTAAGTAAAAAGTCCTGCCTTGACTGAGCCTTGCATGTGACATATCCAATATCATACAACTGATAAAGCAGTTGCCTTTATCATCTTGTAACGCAAATACAAACGAAGGTGTGTTAACTGAGCAAAATGTTATAGTGTAGTGAACTCCACAATGGTTTGTTAAATAGATGCACAACATAAATGATAGAAAGAAGTGTATGTTCAAGATTGTATCTTTGGAATGGTTGCCCAAAACAGTATTCAGTATTCCTGCCTTACTTCGGTTTTAAACATGAGAACTTTAATGTTAATACTGACTTTAAATACACCAGGAAAAATAATATATTTGCATTATGTGTGTTTGGGAGTTTTTACTGTAAAAACTCAAGGAATTGTAAGGTGGTATGACACAGCAATGAACCTTATTGATAAAAAACATCAGTAAATTAAGTTTTCTAACATAATTATCTGAAATAGTTTCTGAAAGTAGCAAGCAATACTTCAGGTTTTTTTCAGAAAGTTCTTAATAAATACAGGCTGGAACATGCTGGATTTCAGATACTTACCTACTTCTAGTTAACACTATTATACAAATACGATCAAAGTTATAATACATCTGTGATAGTATCCATTTTTATAGTTTTTAAAATTTTTTTCTTCTGTTAAATACTAGGACTCTGACTTGAAAGATGTTCTAGATAAGCTTTAAAAAGAAAATCACATGAAATAAATAATAACTACTAGTAATAATATTCTTCTTTGCAATAATTCTGTTAACTTTTGTTGATGGGTATATTTTGCTTTTAAAAATAGACTGTTACTTTACTTGAAAAGTAAAAAATTAAATGCAGTGTCAGCAGCCGCATCAATTTGTCTGTATCTTGTACTAAGTCTTTTCCATTACCTGCAAAATACAGCAATCCTGTTCAGATGCATCTATATCTTTTTTTAAGCAAAAATTTGAACTATAGGGTCTGTGCCTTGATCCTTTTATGAATCACAAATGATTTTTGCCAAATGTCCAGTATTTACTCTTAAAACTTTTTCTTAAATGAAAGCATTATATTTAAAATATTTGTTCTCTATCAGTCTGCCTTTCAGGGATAAACTTTTGTGATGGAATTAACTCCTATATGTTATATGACATTATCTAACACTTTGCTACTTCACAGAACGTCTGGAGATAAATTCTGTCCCCAAAGGTCAATGCAAATGATTTGAACAATTGTGTATGCAACCATTTTTCCTAGTTAGAATAGAAACATCAGGAAACAAGCTATTAATCTGTTATACAGATATATACACAGGAATATTAATATTGGGACTTGCACACAGCAGCATAACATGAATGATAATATCTACTCACTTGTTATACATTATTGTACAGAATTTTAGACAAATCTTGTAGAATGCTACAACACAGGAGACAGTAAAGGGTTTTCATACTTCAAACAGCAGGATGACCTACCTACAGATGGCCCCTTGCCCAGGGCTTATGTCACACTTCCCATCATTCAGGCAGAAGTTTGGTTGCAGATCACAAATGCTGTTGCACGGCAGCCCGTCAATGCTCAGGTAGCCAGGATTGCAGACACACTCAGCTTCTCCACTCCAGCGATTTACTAAGCACTCAGAGAATTCATTGCAGGCCTGGAACTTGCAGGGATCTGCTTGCTCACCTGACAATACATAGAGCAGAATATATTAATGATAGAGGAGAACCTTAATTGAGGCAAAGTGCTGCCTGTCTGCTGCCATTTTCTCTAATGGTCTCTTAGTTAATCCACAAAAATCCAGTGTGCATCTTTCCCAAGTAACCAAAGGTTCTGCTAAGGTGAACAAGCACTAGCAAGTATTCCTCTGTCTGCAGAGTGCATGCCAGTGGCACAGATAAGACCACCCAACAAAACAATCAAAAAACCAAGTGTATAAAGTGATCTTTTTCTTACTGTTCTCTCTCTGCTGGAACTAAATTTTGCAAATGAGTAAAACACAGCTGAACTCCAGTATTTTTTGTTATAGAAAACCTAGGCAGCATATAGGAAAGGGCAGTGGGAGTTGGGGCACTGACCATCTGCTGTGAGGGGATTTGCCTTTTTGTCTGCAAGGAACACAAGCTTATAAAATTCAAGATATCTCACTTGTATCAAGCTTAAGAGGCTGGCATACACCTAAATTATCAATATCAGAAGATTTTTTTCATGCTAATTAGACCATCTTTTTAAGAGAGCTACCTGTGAAGAACAGCTACCATTTGCCAACAGGTCAGCACTCTTGTTTTTCTCTAACCTTAAAACAGGCAATATTTTCGAGTTGCTTATATGGTAAACTACTGGGTAATTGGACAGAATAAAAAAAAAACTTTCTCCCTGTATCAGAGAAGTGAGCCAAGAGGGCCTGTAACTATTTCGTGCAATCAAGGCCTTACCACAAGAATGAGGCAGCGGCTGTTACCTGTGCAGATGCTCACCTGGCAGCTAAACTGGCTACCACCTGTCGGAGTAACCACATGGAATAAGTTCATACCACACATGAAACTAAACAAAAGAGAAATGAGCACCACTGTTCCACCTGAGCAGGCTACTCCCTCACTCCCCAGGTAAAGTGCAGTGGTATGGTATAGAGTATTACGTGAGTCAATTTGTCTCCATAATTCTATATGGATCCCATACAGCTTGCTCTGTCTGAGTCCCACTTTTATTTTCATCTCTTTAGTCCCATAACAGATTTTTATTTGTTTGTTTAAGCTCTGTGAAAGATTGTGTTTCTGAAGCCCAGTCTGTGAAAATCAGTGGGCAGTCTCTGAGCTGCTGGGATCCTTAGTACTTAAAGCAGAAATTGTTCTAAATCCCTTGCTTTAAACTTCATTTCCCTGCTGTCCTTACCCGATTCCACATCCAAGGAGTATTTATCAATGGCCAGGTTCATGGTGTGATATGCAGTGTTGCAGAAGTCTTCCAGGATCAAGTACACAGCATTGGTGACATTCCGAGGCACAGGTTTGGCAAATTTCATTCGGCTGTTCACCACAATGCTGCCGTTTCTGAAGTTCAGGATTTCGAGATTCTGGAATCCCGTCAGATTTGACTGAAGGTATGGCACCAGCTGCAACATAGGGGATGTGACAGAAAAGATGAATCTTTGAATCTCTCTCTACTCAATTCTGTTGCACTGTTACTGCATCAGACAGCAGGAGTCTGAATGACTTTATCCAAATCCCGCAGCAAAGGCATTAACCTTTACCCAACTGAGTTCTGTGCTGGCAGCCTGCCAGGAGCCTGAGTACTTCAGGTATCTCTTAAGAGTATACCAATTGTCAGACAGTTTCTAAAAACGTATGATTCAGAAATACAGTTCTCAGGACATAAATCGTGTTCTCCCTTGATCTAAGCACCAGCCATAACTGCTATTTCACAGGGTTTTTCCTTCAAGCATGTCCCACTTCCCCCTCTGTTCTTTGTTCCCTTATCTCCCACAAAAAATTACTGATTTCAGTTAGAAGATGTGATTTCCCAGTTAAAACTTGGCAGTTGTTGCTGTATAACTCCTGTGAGGCTTTGCTATTCATCAACCAGGGAAGGAACAGCTTAGCTCCCTGAGCCACCTCTTAGGATGGGTTGAATGTGTTGCAGAAAAGTTACCTCATCACTAAAAAGTGAACGAAAAAGTTCTGCTTTAGGGAGAATATTGACTAAATAAAAGACAAACATCCCACCACCTGTTTCCAGACAGAATTTTCCCGTGGAGGAACACAAATCATATCTGTAAACACCAGGTTTGAGTTGCTCTCTGCAAGAGAGATTATTAAATATCATTGCCAACAATTTGTGTCTATCTGGTCATGGACATTTAGTATAGAAGTCATTCTTACCAATTCCAAGAACCGCTGTTCCAATGCTTTGTATTCAGGGGAGTTCTTATTAAAGAGGTCCTCTGAAAACATCATGTTGGTAACCCGAAGACTGAAAAACACAACTAGAGCTCGGGACGGGACAGTACTGCTGTAGTGAGTTTCGTGTGTGGCCCAAGCCACACTGGCCATCTCTGTGGACTGGATACGAGTTGTTAGCTCCATGTGACTTTCGGTCATTCTCCTTCCCTCCTCAGTCTGCTCAGGAAAAAAGTGGACAGTGCTCACACGATCCAGGTCTACTGAAATATCTAGGGCTCTTGTCGTTTCATCTCCCAGCTTTGTTGAGGCAGCCACAGACAATGATGTTGTGGATCCCAAAGGAGGGAGATGGGATGGAAGCTCAGTGGGGCTTGTTGTTACTCTCACTGTTTCATACTTCACAGCAGTGCTGAAGCTCACGGAAACGTGGTCTGTACCACCCTGCCCAGCGAAGTCCTCCAGGACAGTGGTCTGATCTATCACAGAAGGAACTGCAGTTGAAACTTGAGGGGCAGCTGGTGTTGCTAATTGCACTGTCTGATCTAAGGAGGTTTCTAGTGTTCTGTCAGTAGGCCAAACATCAGCTGGGCTCTTCACTTCTGATCCAGTAGCGTCTTGGCCTGCCAATGATGAATCTAGGGCTTGCTGCTCTTCTGTGGAAGCATCAGGCTTTACCATGGAAGGACCTGCAGGCAGAGTGGTTCCTGAAGAGCTTGTGTCCAAGTGTCCTATTGTAGCAGCTTCCATTACATCTGACTGCTTCACTGTGTATAGTTCTTCTACCATTGTCCTGTCTTCCTTTTGGTGTTCAATTTCTTCAGAAATTATGTTCTGATCTACACTAGACTCTTCAGGTTGCTCCATACCAACAGTCTCTGTAGATGTAAGTAGATGATGTTCCACAGACAGATCTGTGTACTGTGGTGAGACAGGCACCTCTCCAGTTGGCATGTCTACAGCGGAATCATCCACCGAAGGCTCCAAAACCAAGGATGGTTTAACAAAAGAAGTATCATACATGCCCAGTGTTTCTGCCTGTGTAGATGGTTCCACAGATGATGGCTCTTCTGTCTGTAACAGAGGTACTGGCGGAGTTGTAGTCTCTGGAAAGACAAATATTTCAGACTCATCAAGGAAATCTTTTATATTGACTATACGTTCATTCTCATCTTTGGAAGGATCATAATCTAATTTATTCTCAGAGTTGAGAATATAGTCTAAGATCATGCCTTCAGGAATATCCTCAGTTTTGATTAACAAAGACTCATTGTCATCTTCAAGCCAGCTATCAGGACCAGGGTAAAAAACTGGTTCCAATGTTGCTTCTTCCCAAGGCCAGATACTTGATTCCATTTCTTTTCCTGAACCATCAAAAGCTGAACCAGACCCATCATCATATATAACTCTATCTCCAAGAAACATATCAGTTTCATCTTCCATAGGGGGTACTTCTAAGGGAAAAGGAATTTCTTCCACAGAGTCTGCACTGTCACTGCCCTCAGGACTACCTTGAGATTCTTCTTCCTTCTCAGCAGATACTATTTCTTTAACATCAGTCTCTATGACTGATGAAGAGGCCACTGTTGGTGCAGGAAGCAGAGGAACTGCATAATCATCTGTAGATGGAAATTCTTCAGGCACAAGGTGAGAGGGACTTGAAGGCAAAAGATCTTCAGATAGTCCAGTATCTTCAACTATTAAAAATAAAAATAAATTTCCAATTACTTGTTGTTTATGATAAAAAGGGTCAAATTACATTAACTTTATTATCTGTAGATCTGTATTCCACATGTTTCCCATAATATTTCATGGCCTTTGTATGCCAAAGTCAGATGGACCCATGTTGACCTGTCCCACTTTCCATTCAGATATTATATGGGCCAAGTCCAGACATGCAAAATTAATTCTATGAAATTAAACAAGCATCATGTGTGTATCATTTCCAGAAGGGATAAACAGGCATTATTAGCTATTACAAACATTTTACCTTGGTATATTGTTCTTGAGTATATGCATACAAGAAAGGTAAAAACTAGCAGAGAAAGAAATCCAATTTTTAGATGTTTCGAAAAGTCATTTTGGTGAACTGTAATTTGGTGAGTATCAGGAAACACTGGCATCCAAATTTAAGCTCCAGTCAATGGCATTAACTTACCATCTAAAGAACTGGGGGGTGAAAACCATTCCAGAGAGTCCTCAGAATCATGCTCTAACACTGGTGCAGGGACCAAATGAGGAGTCCGACTCCCATCCTCTAAATTCAGCCCATCAGGCAAAGTGTCGTCAGCCTCTGAGGAGAGTGGAGCTTCAGGTGCCAAACCAGCCTCTGAGTCCACAGTTTCTGGTCTTGGCTGGATTTCACTGTCACTGGACTGTTCACTATCTGAAGTGGAGTCTGGTTTGGTGTAATCGAAGGGCAAGGCATTGCTGACCGTTGATTCATCTGCTGAGGGACGTTCAGCTAAAAAGGTGCTGTCCTGGAACATAAACCTACTATTAATATTTCCACTATTACAGGGGAAACATTGATTATCTCCATTGAGCTGAACACATAGAGGGTGTTAACAGCAGGCAGCAGCAGCAGTCTTGTACTACTGCCTCTGTGAGAGAGCAATGCACAGCAGCAGGAGGGGCTAAACTGGGAGGATTGGCAAATATAGACCCTTTGCTAATCGTGTGCAATATACATGTAAAATGCATGTCCTTGTGGCATACATCATGTCCAGTCGTGTCCATTGAAAAGGGAAAGGAGCCATTTAGATTGTTTGGAGTACAGCATCACTTACAGTATCAACAGATTTGGCGTCTACACCCAACCCCTTGTCCTTTCTTGCACTAAAAAAAGAATCTGTCCATCTCTAATTAAACCAAAGATAAATTCTGCCTGACTTCCTAAAGCATGATGAGGTTTTAGCAGCTATTATTCAGCTACACAATCAATATATTAATTATAATATTGCAGTTACTATGATACATAAAACAGCATAGAAACAGAGCTTGAATGTATGCGTGCCCAGTGATCATTTATTGGTATCTTTTAGTTTTTGGACATAAGAACTCAGGAGGGAAACAAAAACCACAATGTAAAGAAGAATGTTGAGAACCTGGAATAACTTTAGTCTCAAAGCCAAGATGCCTGTGCAGACGAAAAAAAATCTATCAGCAATAACTATGAACAACAGAGAGTATGTAGAGTGAATTGTTTGGAATGTGAAAAAATAATTTGGTTTTACATCTCCAATTTCCACACTGTTTATTTACTACTTAACATCCCAATCATTATTTGGTTTACAGTTAAAATAGTTAGCACATTTCTTCTTTGAATATTAATCTACTATCATGGTGTCTGATGAGGTAATTATATTGGGAAAAGCCAATAAAGAGATTAAATTATTTGGTCAAGGCTACAAAAGCAAGCTGCCAGCCTAAAATTCGGGAATTAGTGTTTCACAAGGACACCTGCCCACATATCAATGCTGTACAGTGGTCTGATATGGACCAAAAAAATCCATGGGATACAAAACCTGCCAAGCACTTTCGAGAAGCAGCAATTTACTAAGAACTAACCAACTGCTGATGGTGACAAGCAAAGTTAAGTGGGCAGTGGACACAGGGTTCTATAATACATATTACAGTTCAAAACCATTTAAACTATTTCTGTAGCTCGCCATTCCTGTAAAATCTTTCTATTACTTGACCAGCAGGGATAACAGGAAGAATCCAAACACTTCGAAATTTTACTCCTGGTTGAAATGGGGGTGAATCAAATTTTCAGCTTCATTCAAACTGCACTTGAATGCTTTGGAAACAGGCTAGTTAAGGTATTTTTATTAAATTACTTGTTTACCTGCATTGATCACATTTAAAAGTGCCAGTTGTTATGCCACCACAGTCTCCTCTTTAATTTATATGGTAACAAGCAGTTGAAAAGTATATATACCACACAGACATGTGCTCCAGCAATTATATTTTTTGGCAAAACTGAACACTATAAATAAAGCTGTAAAAACAGTTACTATACAAAATTAGAAACAAATTACATGTATAAATTCCATAAAGAATGAATAAGGACTACCAGCAATAGCTTCTCAATAAATTTTTTTTTATGTGAGCACTTAGTTGCCAGGGATTGCACTTCATCATTTATTCGAATGTGGATAGATGTTCCTATGGCAACTAACATTATTCAAAGATTCTTGTTACAGTGCAATATATTATATTAACAAGTTTAATATCATCTTGGCAAGTTCTGGTTTTTGCTAATGTCTTTTGAAAGGCTTACAAATATGACAGATGACTGCAAACACAGAACTCCCTCCCTGATTTTCCATTTTCTGCTGCCAGAAAGGCATTGTATTCAGCAAGCCAGAGCATTCTACCTGTTACAACTCAACAGAAATAACAAGAAAATATGGATTTCGAAAAATAGACTTAATTTTGCTTTACTTTTTAAGAGATCTGTAAAACTCAAAAAAAAAAAATTAGTGGTACCATCTGCTAGCAATTAGATGGTGAAGTCATGACAGTCCCACATTATGTCATAAGTATGTATGATAATACAAATCAAACTTATTCTCAAATCAGCTAAGAAGAATCATAGCAAAATTCTTTTCCATAGGTAGCAGTTCTACTTAAGTGTATCCATAAAGGTTTGACATCTGTGGAAGTAATTGATCAATTGTTTACTGTTTAAGCATGTTTTTGATTTTCTTAAATGTATGTGAAGCTACTTCCCAAATTATCTGTGTATTGCAGATTGTACACAGCTGGTTTGGGGATATACTCAATATCTTTTACATAATTAGTCTTCTTGATTGAAGTTACAGATTACTGTTTTCATAGCTCACAATTAGAAAAATATAACTTCCACAATTTTTTCTCATACATTTCCCTAACATTGGGTTAAAATTTATTATTGTAAAGCTACTGCTACTCTAACATCTTCTTTCCTGCACAGCTGCCAGATTATCCACAGATAGAATGTAAAGATGGAAGAATTCTTTGTCTTACTAAAATAAATATGTGCAATATTTTAAACTAGTTAGACAGCTCTAGTAAAGAGAAAGATCTTTCCTGAAAGTTAACTTAAATCCACACCACATTTAAGCCATTATGGTAAATCCATATGAATTTGTATTTTAGACACCAATGATTAGTTTTTAAAACTCAGGAAAAGCTGGCATGAAATTAAGGATATTATACCTGTTTCCATTCTAATAATATTTGGGTTCTGTCAAGTGACTACAAATTTTGCTTACATAAAGCTTTCAGAAGCTGACCTGAAATTAGATGTGTCTGTCACAGCATTGTCTCATAACAGGCTTAGTGCGAACCTACCATCCGGCACAGGTGGATGTGGATTTTATGGTACGATCTGAGCTCATTTCTTTGTGGAAGGCACATCTATGTTATACAACTGAGTGCAGAGCAGAAACCTCCTGCCCAGACAATGCTCCACCATTCAGAAGTTCTCACTGTTGGCAGAACTAATTGAATTGATCTCAGTGTGGCTGGCACTTAACTCAGTATCTCTGCCTACAGTCCCTTTGCATTGTACAGACATGGTTAGGGATACTGAGCCTCCTGTCCAATAGGGAACTTCAATTTATGTCCTGGCTTGTTCCAGAGGTAATCAGAGGAGATAATTCGAATTTCACCACCTGTTATATTTCTGTTTCCTTTGCTGGCATTAGGGGGATGGACATAGTTTTAAAACTGAGAAAAAAAAAAAGCTGAGAATTTTCTGTGAAGGCAATACAGTAACAAAAGGAACATATGAAACTTAGCATTTTATCTCTTCCAGCAGCCAGCTTTAGGGTTTACATTTATTTGTTGCTTTCCAAAAAAACATAGGATAATGGAAGGAAGAATCATGTCTTTAGAGCAGTTTGCAGTCTAAACAAGATGATCACAGAAAACTGGTGCAACAGATACCAGAATTGTTATATGAGAGATTTCACCAGTTTTTACACTAATATAAGGTGTGCCTTCATTACTACTTATTCTGCATGTACAATGGGATAGAGAAGCTCTGGGTGTTGGCTACAATTCCAACTTGTTGAGTTAAATTGTTCAAATGTGTCCAAAGGCCTCTGCTCAGAACCATACTCACATCGAACTCCGGGCGCTCCAGCACAGCTGGATGCTCAGTAATCCAGGATGGCTCTTCTGACGTGGGGTGTAGTATTTCTTTCACTGTGAAAACATAAATACTTGGGATCTAAAGGCTGCCATAGCAGTGTGAGGAGGTTATGTTGGAAGACTGACTGAAAAACCCTCTCTAATCTCAGATTTGTGAGTAAAATCTTTTCAAAAAATTTGTCAGAGAGATTTTATTCCTGGAAATGCCCTCCAGATCACTGATAGGAAGTACAGAGGAAAGATGTACAGAGGAAAGATGAGAACAAAGGGGTGACAGCCCTCTTTCATCACCTCTAGCAGGATCACTAAATATTCAACAGTAACCCAGGTATTTCCTTTGTGCTGCTCATGGCCAACACAAGTCTACTAAGCCGAAGGTCACCTTGGTGTAAGGTGCATCATGTGAACCCCTTCTATTCCTATTAATTTTTGGAAGTGTTACTGGAATTGCACAGCACAAAGCTCAGTGTAAAAATAAAAAAAAAAGACTAAACCAATGGATTAAAAAAATGGGATGCTACTGCTAATGATTTGACCTGGTTAAAATCGGATCAAAACAAGCTGTAACATAGTTGGTTTTGTTCTCTCTGTTTAATTATTCAGAAGGCAGCTGAATAATTTGCTCATCTTGGATTTAATTTATAAAAATTCAGATGTGTGACATACCAGTGCATCATAATTAATACTCACCATTAGTAAGCTGGAGAGAGTTAGGGTCTAAAGACAAGGAAGTGTTTTCAAGCAAAGCATTTTTCTGGAGGATTTCAGCAATATAATCTCGGAAATCACTGATGGTGTACACAACTGTTGGATTATCCTCTATGCCCATAAAGGAGTTGTCTTCCACCTTGTTGGATTGAAGGTTAATCAGGTCCCAGGTGGCATTGCTGATGGCTTTTCCATCAAATGTAACAGCATAGTGAACTTCTACCCCACTTCAGTTGTACAAAGAGAAAGAGAACACAGATGAGAAATGCCAGGTTTTCCAAAGTATAGCAAACACTATGATATTTTTTCCCAAGAACCTGTTCAATACACTTTTTAATATAAAAATATATGACTTTAAAGTATTCTAAATAAAACCTATTTAATTCTTTTCACATTTGTATCTGCTTGTGCTTTCCACCAATGCAAAGTTATCAAGGAAAAGGCTACCTCCTGGTCTGGTCCCAGCCCTGTACTTCTACTAATGAATGGCAGACAGACCACAAGCAGACCAAAAGGCTGGCTTTTTACCAGCATTATTAATGGACCCACCAGCATGCAGTGGTGAGAGTGATGATTTTAAGGTCATGAAAATGATGGGAATGGTTCTGAGGTATGAAAACAGACAGGAAAAACAGGCTATGTAAAGCAGCAATCTACAGTAGCAAGTGAGAGCCCTGATCACTGTCACTGTGCAGTGTCAACCTGTTTGAAAGAATGTCCTTAATAGCAATAAAATGGTATTTAATACAGCTTATAATTGGGAATATTTATCTAGATTCATTTGATCATTTATTCTATAACTCGGTTTTGTATCTGTGTACAGCTTAGGTTTTTTCATATTAATTCTCCTCCATTATCTTAATTTTCTTTTTCTGAATACATTTGCATGTCCTTTTCCACATGACAGTATAGGCAGCAATCCAATTTACCAAACACTGGGCATAAGCACAAGGGAGTTCTAGAAAATATAACATATTTTGGCTGTACACAGAACACAGCAAGAAAATTAAGTAACCTATGAAGTATTAGAATAATGTGCCCTGAATACAGGTTTTCCTCACTCCATGGAGCTGAATTGGATTGCTAAAATAATTTCTCTGTTCAGGGAAGTCTTAAAGTCCCAGCACCAGATACAACAGAGACATAATCTGAAAACACACTGACTAAAATGAGGAGCCTGCTGGAGTTTTGCTGGTGGCTCTATCATTGAAATAAGTCCAAAATAAGCTCATCACGGACACTGACTGTCAGAAGAGGAAATAAAGGACAGCAGTAGTGAAAAGGCACAGCAAAGACGGAACAGAGCATGCTCCTCAAACACAACCTTTAGATTTAATACAACTGTACTGTCAGTTGCCTTTAATAATTCCTAACAAATAACTACAACACCATCATCTGTCTGGAAAAGGCTAAACATCTGGTGGCTGGAACAGAGTCTTTGTGAACAGTTCCATGTATCTTATCCTCCAGAAGTGCACAGTAGTAGGAATGGCTTTAAGTCACAAAGGTTTGTGAAGAGATTTGTGTTATCTAACCTTTCTCCTAAAATTAGAATGCTCTTTAAAATTCTCCATGGAAACTGGCTATGCCTTTGCTGAGATATACACAAAAGAAAATAATACACTTAGTAAGTTAATGCCACAGTTCATTTTCTGTCTTGTGAAATTCATAAAATACTAAAGAAAATTTTGTATTTTTAACTTGCATATATCTGATGAAAAACAAGTCCAAACTGATCCCATGTTCTGCTAAAGAACGTTTACGGAAATTCTGGTAAAACGTGCAGCACCTTTGCCCTTTAAGTAGCTAAAGCAACTGCCTTCGCTGGAGAACTGCGGTTTTCTTGCCTACTTTAATTTCAGTAATAATAATCACCCTGTATATATTCAAGACTTTGCTGCAAAGTATGAAGACCTTGAGTAATCAAGTTAGCCCAGTAGCTGACTTGTGTTTAGGTAGACTTTCCCGGAGTATTTTTTTTTATTATTATTATTAGGACTTAAATAAGCAAATTAGGTTTATCTTTAATCAAAACAGATCAGTTACTTGCATTTTTTGGTAGAACTCCTCACATAATATTTATGCTGGATAACTATCTTGCTCTGGAGCCAAAACTACAAATCCCCAAAACAATGTCCTCCAGCTAAACATGTTTTTTCCATCTGTATTATGACAATATTTATAAAAAAGTTATCTTTACCTGTCGTCCTCGGAAGGGCTGAATATAAAAACAAAACAGAACAGCAAAACCTGTTAAATCGGTGTCATAATTTCCTTTAAGTCTTATAGTTTTTACAAATTTGCTTTGGTATTCTACAGGGCACACTAATTTGAAAATGCACAAAGCAAAATACTACTAAGTTGCAGAGTTATTCTGCTACATAAACTGTTCTGCTTTTACTGAGCTGATATTTCCTATTGATCCCAAGGAATCAGCAAAGACATCTCAGCTTATTACACATAATGCAGTTCAAGATCAAGGAGATCAAGGCTCACTAATTCTACCTAAAGGTTTAGTCTACAACCTTGGGTTTTTGTCATGCACAGAGGAGAGAGTTCTGGTGCTCTGCCAGAAATAGCAACCTTTTATTTCTCTCCCCAAATGAACCAAGAGTTTGCAAATGTATTAGACTGCAAATACCAAGATGGAAGGTTTTGCTACCTTTCAGGCTGAAAACTGGACACAGTCTAAGGTTCCAGACACAAACCCTTTCTCACTATAGCTACTTTGTTACCTGCATGTAATCTAGCTACAGTTCCCTAGGCAATAAATTCTAAGAAACATAGCTTACAGTCTCAAAGAAAACACAATTTAGATTAACTCATGAGCAGAATCATTAGATTCTGAAAGTTATATTCAGTCCATTCAAGAAAAATCACAGTTTGTGATCCATGTACCCCAAAACTCAGACATCAGATGTTTGATGCATTAACTTAGCAAATTAACTTAAAATGTCATTCTGAAGCACAAATTGAATTCAGGAAATTAGTCTTAAAAAAAAATACTTACAGGAATAAAGAGAGTAAAAACATTGCATATCAAACTATTTGCCCACCTGTGTTTTGATCCAAGAGAGAAAGACCTTTACATATTCTAAACACCAACGTTTAGAGTCATCCCAAATTAACATTAAGAAGTCGAAAAAGAATTTTAAATACACCACATTTTTCCAAAAAGATTTCTGTGGTCTTCCTTGTTTAATACTAGGAGATATCAACAGTACAGAAGTAGTATTAGATGTTAGTGTATCTTTTAATTTTATGATAGAATCAAAAAAAAACCCCAAACCATGATATTTGCATTTGCATAGAGCTCTGTATTTCTATTTCAACTGTTATATATAGAGGTACCAAATATGAAAGCACTTGTCCTTTGGTTAATACATCCTAGGAACTCCCACACACATGCCCAACATTCTTCCAAGCATCATGTTAGCTCACTGCACCATCATAAATGATCAGTTCCAACCACCACGTATGCATCAGTATCTTTTTACCTGTAATCCAGGATGTGGATGTTTTTGTATCCAGGTAGTACTTCAAATACACTTTTAATCTATTTTGAGAAAAAACCAAAAGATTAACACACCTTTACCCTACTCATGTGGTGAAAAAAAAATCAGGAAGTGTTTTCAACGTTTTCCATAAATATACTTGAGCTGTTATATCTGATGGGATAAGAATGGTTGAATATTCTCTTTCTTTATGGAAGAGTAATTTTGGTGACATTGTTTCGTTATTAGAAAAGGAAAAGGGAAAATAAAAAGTATGAAGAACAACATCCAGCATTCCCTAACAACTGTATAGAAACACTCAAGGAGACTGCAGAGACCTGCACTGCCCATAGCGGACTACATTCTTTTTTCTTATTTATGCAGCACAAATCCCTCTCTGCCCAAAGAGTTTCCATTACTTCCCAAACCCCTCTGGATTAAAAAGAAATCAGGAAAATGCTCTGGACCTTAGCAACTTAAGTGGAGCAGTGGCCGCCATAAGAAAGGGACCTCTCAGATTCCAAAGAGGCACAACATAGTGCAAAACACAGCTCAGCTCATCTCCACTGCCCTAAACTTACAAAGGACTCAGGAGTGACCAGCAGCGCTGTTCAAAAAAGACAACTGGGGACAGCAAAATGGAAGTACATCCACGCCTATTTGAATAGTCAACTGTGCTACAAGATATAGAATATTGAAGGTTCATGCTGGTTTGGAGGGTTTTTTTAGCTCCCAAAAGATCCTTGCCAGTTGAGGATTATTTTTTACACTGCAAATTCTTATTCCGCTCCCTGATATCCCTATTTTTAAACTGTCTCTGGTGAGACTTAACAATCAAAGTGCTGCCGACTTTCTTTTTTTCAAGAGCTTCTTTATTCATGCTCAGAGAAAACCAGGCAAGGGATCAAAGGAGTGGAACTTCCATGTGCCAGGTGGACTCTGTCCCATCTGACATTTCTTATGCACACACACACACACACTATGGCATTGCTACTTGGCCACACAACTAGGAAAATTAAGATGTCTAGCCTACGCTAGCAACTTGTGACAGTTGTGGTGATGCTTTTTGGCTGCAGTGAAGAGTACATCTCTTTCCCATCTGGCTCAGGATCTGGCACAGGGTTAGCCCCAGTAAAAGGGATTGAACAGAGAACCCCAACTAGATGGGACAAAGAAGGAAGCAAAGCTAGAGAAAAGATAAGCCTCATGATGAGCTGCCATATGGCACCCTAAATACCTCTCCCAAGAAAAAAGAAAGACAAACTCCCCGGCACAAGAAAATTATGGTAATAAAGTTACCACCATTATAGACAAAATTTAAAAAAATTGGAAACAGTAGGGAGAGGAAAATTAGAACACAGCAGTATATTATCATACTTTAGGAATGCATTTGTATATCGGTGGGCCAGTAACTTTATTTGTAGCATTCAAATGGAAATAATTGAAATAATTTTTTTTAATAACTCATACATACATACATGTGTATATTTATATGTATAATGCACCTATGTATTTTTTCTTTAAAGTATGTGCCTAACAGTCTAAACCATCGTTCATTCCCACCGACTCCAATGGGATTTGAGCATGTGCTTAAGAACGGGGTGAAGGGATTTTAAATTGCAGTACCCCGAACTGCTCACTCTGAGCATAAATGAGAAGCAAGAGTTGTCTTGGCAGCCTAGATTTGAGAGAGGATCTCACTGCAATGCCAACAATTCATTCAAAGAAATGTTGCTTCTGAGCACAAATAACAAATGAGTTCTGCTGTTTGTGACTTCTTCCAATCTCCCCATGTATCACCTACTCTGTATAGACAGTAATTGTTAGGGTATCCTCTATCCCATTTCAATGCATATCCAAATCAGCATATGCTGATGGACCTGTATACTTGAGCGTGCTGGCGTGCTCAGACCCTCAAATTATCTTTTTTCACTGCCCCAAACTGCTAATTACAGAAGAATTCAAACTGGAAGACTTAATTAGAAAACACTGAAATGAACTCTAAGCAGACTGGTCATTGGAGAGATGTTAAATGTCTTTTTGAAATTTAAGATTTTCAAGTCCTGCAAATTTAAGAACTAATGAAGTTGCATCAGGAGGTAAACAAGAGACTAACTACTTCTCTGTGAGTTTAAAAGCTCTACTGCAGTAACACTGACAGGGAGAGGTACTGAAAATTCCAAAAGAATGTTAAGGTCTAAGCCAGCTCTGGTAGAAGTAGGTCTTTAAAAGGACTAAAATAAGTGATAATATTGGATTTGTTTCTTTTGCTAACATGAGGCAAAGTAAATTAAAGAGATCAAAAAATGGGGGAAAGAAAATGAGAGCACAATCCCTCAGAAAGATCCTGTTTAGACTATGTCCCCATTCAGGGGTTTAGCATAATTTTCTGATCCTCCCAAAAGCATACTTTTACTTCTTTTGCCTGCAAAAATTATAGCAGGATATATCATTAAAATCACAAAAAGAAAACTAGGGTCTCCAGCAACTGGCATGCTACACACAATGTATGGCACTTTTCTGCTTCAAAAGGCAGCATGTCAGACAGAACAGTGTATTCCCATAGTGGGTGGGTATTTTCCAGCCTGCCTCAGGCCAACAAAAGCCTTAAGCTGTTTCCGCACAGCCCATGAGAAAAAAGCATCCCTGACACTGATGCTTTGTGCTGCTATTGCTTTGCAGAGCCAGCAAAAGGAAAAAGGAAGTTAGGGAAGGTAATCACCTGAGAAATGAATCGTTCAGACAGCAGTTGATGCTCCAGAGTAGCTGGGTCCTTCAGCTCCTCACTGTACTTTTCACCAGCAATCAAAATGTTGAACTCAATCATCTGCTCAGTTACAGGTCTCACCAGCTTCTCATCCTGCGTCTTTATCTCATTATTGATCTGGAAGGGAAGGAAGAAGGAAAAAAAACAAGAGATGATTTAATGTTTTCTTTTTTGTTTGTGTTGCCCATTGTTTTTGGTTCTTGTTTGTTTTTTTTTTTGAAGAAACAAATCCTTGTTACTCACCACAGACTAGATTCCTACCTAATGTGGGTTTACTCCATGTAAAAAGCATCCCTAAATGTGTATGTGTACAAATGGTGCCATCTGTCAACACTACACTACATTCCCAAGTTTGGATCCAAATATCTTTCTTACATGGGACAGAAACTTCTCCAGCTGCTGCAAATCTGAAAGTTTCTCTGGCTCATGGTGGGGCAGAAAACCTGAGCCCTGTATGGACAGGAACACCTCAGGGCACTATTGGTGGGCTGCTCACGGGTATACTTAATGACACATGAAAACCGCAGTGCAAAGCTCAGCATGCTCACTTGAGCCATCAGCACACTTGTTTGCCTTGCACTATGATGGAGTGCTTGTGAAGCCTCAGGGACAGAGGCAATCTAATGAGGCAATCTACTAAGCAAGAACATTTCTTGAGAATTCTCATATTGCAGATAATTCTATTTCCCATATGGAGATCTGCAGTGCAAGTCCATCTAGTTGACCTCAGGTACAAACAGAAATCCAGTTGTGTGGAATGTTTATGAGGCAATTTGAAGTACAGCCATGGATACTCAAACAGCTCACTTGAGCCCAGTCAGTCTAGGTTGATTTACCCAAAATTTACTCATTTATCACAAGGCTCCTACTTACTATTCCACCTGGAAGACAAGTTACCTTTGTCGAGTCCTACATTTGGAACAACACTCTGCTGTTCAGCTTCAATAAGTGAAGGATCCCACAGATACACAATGGGCACTGGGAAACCTGCAGGGACCTCTGCTGAGCTAAAGCAGTGGCCTTCGACTGGTGGGTCTACAGCTGCCCAAGGAGCCCCGTGGCAGTGGCTGTGCAATGCATGAGGGAAGCATGAAGCTTATCGTAGCTGCCACAGGCAGCAGGCAATGCCAAGTTTAAATCTGATTTGAATGACTGAGCAACACAGAAAGAACATTTTCCGCTTAGTTCCCTAGTATTTTAAAACCAGCTATTCCTTGTGGTATAGTGAAAGATGTGAGAAAAAACAAAAAAAGCCAGATTTCTGGGGCAAGGAAGGGAAGTTGGCTTAAGTTAACTTTAGCCAAATAGACAAATGTCTTTTGCTAGAGGCTTTGTCCTTGGCTATTTACATGCAGTTGTTGCTTTTTCCCCATTAAAAAGGAAAATAGAGACCCACCAAAACAGACCTGTTCAACAAAACTGCAGCCCAAGTTATGTATGGTGCAGGAAATGGAAAAACCTTTCTCCAGAAAGTTTATCTGCTTCCAGCGAATAACTTATATGTTGTTTAGGGACCCTCTAAAAATTTTTAGTTAAATTCTTTTCCTCCCCCACTCCATCCCCTTTTCACTGGATAAAGACCATAATGACTGGTGCACTACTTCAAGCTAGTTAGCATTTGATAGATATGTACTTAGCAGGCATATATATACTGCTATCATATGGCTGTTTGCAACAACATATACTTTAAACCATTTATCAGTCCCCCAAAACCTGGTACAGTCAACATACAAGTGCAGAATATGAGCTTTGCTCACTCTTGGTCTTGTAGTCTGCAATGCATTTTGGCTGCACTGAGCAATGATGAGGTGTGATGTAACTGTATAGAGTGAAAACACTGCAGCAGCAGCAATCTAATTCTGGTTTCTTTCTGATTTACTGAGTGGTCCTATTCTCTGCTCCAGCAGAAGTAGTAGAGGCAGTTCTGTTTTGAAAAAGAATAATGCTGTACATGGGACCAAACCACAAGTATTCTTGGTACATAATATAAAGCCAGACCCTGGACTTGAGTCTGAAGCCGTCTGCCTGTTTCATATTCAGTATTTATTCCAATATCAGAGTTCCAGTCAGCCCTGAAAGCTCTAGAAGTGTACAGCTTGGCTCAGCTTTGTTTCATGGCCATACTGTTATGGAACAAAACCCAGTGCCATAAATCAGCTTCTACTTATATGCAGCATGTGAAACTTTGTAAGCTTCTCCATAATCCATTGAGAGTTTCATTTTTATAAGAAAACAAAAGCCAGCTGATTCATACCACTGGCTTGCAAAATTTTTTTCAGTCATGTAGGACCACTAATACTGCAGTTGGGATTAAAGTTTAAATCTAGAGGAGCTCTTTCCTATAAGCAAATACTTCCCTGGGACCCAAGTGGTTTTCAGCTCACTTCTACAGAGATGATTTAAGTACTGGGTATAGGATTCTCTGTGTTGTGAGCTTTGTTTAAATATGACAGTAAGGGTGACTTATGATAAAAAAAGTTCATCTATACCAGCAGAGGAAAAAGAGCAGAGAATCAGAATCTTCAAGGTTGTCCAGGCCACCTCTCTGCATCCTACACATTGTACCACTACTACAGCAACCTAAGGTATATTGTGTTTCCATAAGAATAATAATGTTCCACATTCTTCTTGGAGCTTTCAGAACCACTAGGCATTCCCTCTTTAGTCCTAGTACGCTAGCTAAATCCTCATCTGATAGCTCAGCTGATCTGTTCTCTCCCACTGCTGGGGAAGTGGCATTGTATAGCCTCTGCAAATGAAAAATACATCCCCAGGAAATGATTTTAAAACTTTAGAAATTCCATGCCCTGGTTTTATGAAATCTTAGTATTAACACACCATGCTAACACCTTCAAATACTAGAAAAATGTAAATGATCACGAAAAATATCATTTAAGAAAGGCAACAGAATGCTGAACCTCATGAAAAAAATCACTCACAGTGGTGTCTACACCGTCTACATCCTCGATGGTACCACCCACAGGACTGTCAATGGAGATCTCATCAGGGGGAGGAACATTGGCAGCTGCATCTGAGTTTGAAAGAGAACAGTATTATTTTGTTTGGTTGGGGGGGGTATACCCATGTACATGTAGATACCCAAAACAGTTCAGCAAGAATAAACCAACAGTCAAATTTGATTTCTATTCCCATCATCATGGCAGCAACAGCACAAGAAACACCTGAAGAGCCTGAGGAAAAGTACCAAATACACTAATCAGAATAAAATGTTAATGTTCTGCCTAAGCAGATGTATTTTTGGAAATGTGAAATTAAGTGCAGAAAAAAGTGCACAGAACTAATTTCTCAAGTAGGATTTTCATGATTCATACAGTAACAAAATAATGTCAGCATATAACATGATCTCCAGATTACAAACAGCATTATAGAGATGCAAAAATTCAGAGCTCTTTCTGAAGTCTGAACACCATCAAATTTCTCAATTATCTAGGAATTCAGAATCAACCTTAAGAGGAGTTAGATGAAAACTGACCTCTCAGTGTGGTAACATCAGCATCTGAAGCTGGAGTTGGAGTCCCACTATTGACAGATAAAAATAAAATCAGAAATTGAAGTTGGACATATTGGACATTATTTTTTTATATTTCTGTGATTCTGGTGGCACACCAAAAAGCGTATGCGCAGAAGAAATTTGTCATGGTACTACTTTGCTGGTAACTTCATAAAAATTAGGTTTTGCAGTATTTCAGTTATCTTTTGCAACTTAGATATTGGGTCACTTGCATCACACAACACACCATGTGCCTCTCCAGATTGCTATCCCCCTTATATTCCAACTGACTTGTAGTCCTACCCAACAATACATTTTGCCTTCTAACAGTTCTGTAAAGAAGGCAAATGTGAAGACCAGAAATAAAACACAAAGATAACCTGTGTTATTCTATAAAACGTCCAGTTTTTAAAATATAAACACCATAACTCTACCAAAATCACTGCAAGAAGATGGGTTATTTTTATCATTAATTTTATTCTGCTTATTTGGAAATCTTCAAAAGGCATCAGCTTCCAAATTCAATTATTGGATTCTCATACACACATAAAACAACTCAAGGCCAAATGTGAAAAACATTTCAGGTAAAAATCAGATGAAGACTGCCAGCTTGAAGAAAAACTAACAGCTTTGACATGGCTCTTACAGTAAACCCAGGCTCCTTGGAGCCAATTCTGTAAGCCCCGAGCAACTGTCAAGTTACCAAGAGTAGGAAACATGCTCTGACAGAAACAAGTCGTTCCTGAATGAAGGAAAAATTATTTTTCAGGTTTGTCATACTGTTAATATATACAGCCCAAGCTATAAAATTAGAAGTTTAAGTGCTGGAGAGAAACTGAACTTCAGAAAATTATTAAAGTTCATTGTATTGAGATATTTCTCTCACTTCTAAAGGAACTCCTTTTTTATTGGTGGTCATACTTGTGCTACAAAATAAGCAACATTGGCCATGGTTCCAAGCCTTGTCAGATTTGATTTTTGATTCACATATTATATTACTGGTCTTGCAGTCTGTCCTCAAGCAAAACTCCACTCAGACTTGATGGATATTTTGCCTCCTTCAAGATGTATAATCAGTCTCTTTATCGCTTCAGAAAAACAAAGGCTTCCAGCACCAGCCAGACAACCAGATCCAAAGTTACACACTACAGATACCAGGGCACCAGCATATGATCAAAGACATGATAGTTGCACTGAGTTAAATGTCTGAAACAGTCTCTCCCCCTACCTCTCACAGACACATAAGACTTGCCAAAGACTTGACCTGAAGTCAAACCTGATGAATTTTCTACTTAAGTCAAGAATCTTTTCACCTATCCTTTCCCAGGAGGCACAGGTTAGTCCTGAACTATACCAAAATATAGTTCAGGGAATGTTAAACTGACAGGGTGAGATCTCCACAATTACATTAGCAAAAAATAAAACAATCTCCAAACAAAACAGAAAATGCTTATTCAAGAGTTTATACAGTACCTTCATGTGTTTTTTTAAACAACTAAAGTAGCTGAGCAATATGCAAGCTTTGAAATGTAGTTATTTGTATCTGCTTCCATCTTGTGGACACTGGTACCTTTTTTCAGCCAGCACAGCACAAGATAACTCTCTACCAGTTCTTTGACAACCTCAGTAAATCTTGGAATCATTTCCAAGATTGGAAAATTTTACTAGCAAGTATAAGAGACAAGATCACTTCTCTTAAGGATATTTTCTTAAGAATGCTTGTTATACTTTAGACTGATTTAGTTTCCTTATTTGTTAATCATCTTAGAACTGCAATAGATCAGTCTAATGAAATATTTTCCAATTAGGTTCACCCAACTCCAGGATGCATTTCTTTTACCAATTTCAATAGGAATTAGATTACAGTCTCACCAAATTACAGCTTCAGTAAAAAAAGCATTTTAGTGCATGTTTAATGTTCAGAAGCAAGTATGATTCTACTTCTCAGCAGAGGTGAGTCTAATATTTTATTTCTTACAAACTGATTAGTGTAACTAGGGTCAGAATAAAAACTCAACAAAAGCAAAGCGATATGCAGTAAAAACTCTGCTATGGGATTTGCAATGTTCTATTCAGTTCAAACCCATATATAAAAATTAGCTGAGTCTTGTATCAGCCCCCTTTTCTCTAGAAGGGGGCAGTGAGAAAAGTGATTTATTGTGGTAAGCTCTGATCTTAACCTGAGACTCACAGGACTCGATCCAGTTGCCCAGGGTTGGTGTCCAGTATATTTTGAAGAGCCTTCAGGTACTCCTGACCTCCAGCTACTGCCCCACAAGGCACAGGTCACTCACAGTTCCCACATCATCCCTGGCAGCCTTCTGCATGTGTGCTGTGACTCAGGGCATCTTAAATGGACCAAAATGACCATCTGACCAACTGAGCACCCAGTTCTCTGGTGGGTTGGCCTTGGTTAAGGGCCAAACACCCGCCCAGCCTCTCTACAAGACAGGTGAGAAAATAAGGTGAAAAGTTTCTGGGTCAAGATAAAGACAGGAAGGTCGTTTACCAATTACCTCCACAGGCAAATTAGACTCAGGTTGGGGAAAATTGATTTATTGCATATATAAGTATCTTGGGATAGTGAGAAACTGCCAGACACTAGAACACCACTTATCCTCCACCCAGGCTCAACTTCACTTCTGACTCCTCTACCCAGCACATGCTCTGCCTGTTCCAGTCTAAGCCCTCCCTTGGCTTCAGGGAATACTTGCTTTGCCATGGTAGGGTGCTTTTGACCTTGGCATTCCCTATGCCACAGTTTCTCATTCTTTTTGTTCCCTACTCCTCTCCCTGTGCCATGCTCTTGCCCTTTCTCACACAGGCTTTCCCTGTGGCACCACTGCCATGAGTGTAGGGCCCAGCTGTGCCCTGCTGTGGGTCCATCAAAGCCGGCTGGAACCAACGTGGGGCAGCCCCGGTCTCTCCTCACAGGGAGCCCCTACTGACGGCACCTGGGCATCTGCACCCAGTACGGTTGTGTTTGCCAATGTACCCACAAGGTAAATTTAAACTAAGTTACTGAAGTTTTTAGAGGAGAAATCCTCAAAGTAGACAAGAGAAAAACGACAGAATCACAAAATATGCTGAGTTGGAAGGGACCCACAAGGATCAAGTCCAGCTCTTAGCCGTGTACAGGGCCATCCCCAAGAATCACACCATGTGCCTCAGAGCATTGTCCAAAAGCTTCTTGAACTCTGTCAGGCTTGGTGCTGTGACCACTTGCCTGGGGAGCCTGTTCCAGTGCCCAAGTGCCTTCTGGGTGAAAAACTTTTTTCTAATACCTATCCTAAACCTCCTGACACAGCCTCAAACCATTCCCATGGGTCCTATCATTGGTCACCACAGAGAAGAGATCAGTGCTTGCTTCTCCACTTCCCCTTCACCATCTTTGTTGCCCTCCTTTGGATACTCTCTAATGGCTTAATATCTTTCTTATATTGCAGTGCCCAAAACTGCATACAATATTCAAGGTGAGGCAGCACCAGTGCAGAGCAGAGTGGGACAATTACCTCTCTCGACTGGCTGGTGACGCTTTGCCTGATGCTGTGGTATAAATCACACTTCCAAAGGAGGAGGAGTTGGCAAATGGAAAAGCCTAAAACTAGCTTTCTAGAGTACTACTTCTAGATCAGATTACTAGTTATAGACTGGTATAAAAATAAAGTTCTCCAAGTTTCAAAGGTCCCAGAGGATTCTCTCTGTCACAGACTCCAACAAATGGCAGCTCTCCAACACTAATGTCACCTTAAGCACCGGGTTAGCCATGTGGTGACAACCACAGACCAAGCCAGGCCATAGGGCAACCATAACAGTGCTGAAAATCAAGGTGAGACTAAGGCCACTGTCGAGGTGAGAGTTCAGGCTGCATAGCAAACCCATCTCCTTAAGCAGCAATAGACCACGCTCTTTGTCAAGGCCAGGTAATACATGCTTACTGGCACCGAGGGGCTTTCAAATACAAGCCCTCAAAAGCTACCCAATTTTCTGACAAAATACTAGTGCACAGCTGGCTGGAAATTAAAAGCCAAAGGCTTAAACACCACCTAGTAAAACCGTAATCAATCCAATCAAACAAGACCAACCAAGTATCAAATTTGGTCAAATTATCAGCTATTACGTTTTCTCAGGAAGATAAAATATTGTTTTACAAAACTGTGCTATAATCAACCTCACTTTATGCACAGTGTTGTTTTTTTCATGGCTTTACCAGAATGGTGAGGTTTGCTTTCTTTTTGCATGCATTTCTTTTAGACTTCTACTTCCGTTAACATATTAATTTTTCAAATGCCCACTTTATTGATCTCCTAAAAAAGCAGCAATAGTACTAGGCATCTCTAAGGAAATCACTCAAAATGCACATGGCATACGCTGATTTGTTTGAACACACCACTTTTCAAGTTAAACATAGATTCAAATTCCCCTTCAGTTACATCACTTAAAATACAAGAGATTTTTTTTTTGTTTGCCCCCGGATTAATCCAGGCCCCACACTTTATTTTTAACTCTACCTACACAAGCAAGCCACTCCAGGTGGAGGGACTGTATTTTAGCAAGAGTTTATTTTGAATTTGAGACACAGATATATGAAATGTAATTTCTATTGTCCTACCTGCATGAGTCATGCCCTGGATCATCTTGGCTGAGCAGTAAGCAAAATATAAAAATATACACATATGTATGGAGATGCAGGAAGGAATACACACAAGCAGACTGTCTAAGCACCAGAACGAACAACACTGCACTTGTGTTTCCTTGAGGGAAACAACTAGTTTCAGATCACACAGCTCTGTTAGACACCAGGATCTAGGCAGGTGTAAGACGAGATCCGTAAGAGCCTTGGAAGTTGATCTGAAGCAAACAGTGATTATGGAGAGCCTATACATATCAATACAGCAAACACAGTTCACAAACACTGCCTACACTCCCCTTTTTTCAAACCCCATGGTACGTACTTCTGTGTGACATCTGTCATGTCAGAAGAAGACTTGATAGGTTCCAGTCCACCAAAGCATGTGTACTGATGTACAGAGTTCCATTGACTCAAAGACAAGTGTAGAGCCTAAACAGGTTCTTTATGTGCAGCCATACTGCATACATTTCTCCTCAAGGTTTAACTTTGTGGTTGAACACCTTCAGGTTTGTACTACCTGTTCTGGACATCCATCAGTTTTTCAATTATTTATAACATTGTTTATCAATTTGAATGTTCTAAAGTCTAATTTGCTATGTCAAGTATTTATTTTTCTTTAAAAATACTACTTCAATGTTCATATTGCACAAAGAAGGGAAAATCATTTTATTGTCTGATTTTCTCATTTTTAAATATTTTAGTTACACATTCTTGAACTAACGATGCAATTTAAGAAGTATTCAAGTTCAGAATGCAAGACTGAGCCTTGTATTCAGATTCTTCTCCTTTCAAATTGTACATGCATTTGTCTTAGTTTTCATTTAGGTAGTTCTTGAATTTTGATTTATTTTTGTTTTAATTAAAGCAGGACAAACCTTTCATATTTGCCAACAGACAGTAGGGAGCACAAAAGAAAATATACAACTGAAAAGGAGCAGTGTGGAACTCTTCACAAATGGTAAAGCTGTGCAGATAACAAAAAATTTCTGAAACAAGCATATCATTGCCAAGTCCACATGCAAACAGTAAAGAAGCTCAGGTACGTTTCTACTTCACTGCAGGCAGAACTGCTGAACTGATGAAATGATCCCAGCACAGAAGACAAACTCTTTTTCTTTCATAAAGCACATTTAGACAAACAGTAGAAAATCTGAGTTGACATATCAACCATCTTTGCTGCCACCACTGATGAAGTAGGGATCCTAAATTTGCCAATTTATTTCAAGGCAGAGAACATGAACAGAACAAAGGAAGTCTCGAAATTATTTACTAAGACTAATTTCAGTGAGTTCAGAATCAGCAAGTACCATCAGAAAGGACACAAGCCTCTATTTATTTAATTTGACATTAAGAGCAGCTTCTGAAGAAGTGAAAAAGTAGTCCATTATATTAATCCTTTTCAACTATCCTATTATACTCTTGATCTTTTCCTCAGTATGTTACTGTGCTTACAGAAATCAAGCGAGGCTATGGCATAAAAGCTCTAGTTTTCTACCACAACAATTCTGTGCTACTCCTTTGCCATTGGTTGATTCTCAAGGTCTGGCTTAGGAATTAGACAAAAGGACTGTCCTGTTGTCATGACACACACTCCACCATTAAGAGACAGAATTTCATTATGCAAAGTCCCAATGGCCTACTGAACAAAGCAATCAGTAAAAGTCTGATGTAGTGCTTCCAGACTTCCATCTGGGACAAAACCTTCACAATGTCCACTGGGTTGCTGTGTACACATCTGGATCGTGTCATATTATATTACTTTTCCTTTTGAGGTTTTCTCCTCAGTGGTACTCAGTTTAATCCCTCAGTTCCTTAAAAGGCCAGGGTACCTGAGCATTTAACCCGTGTGAACAAGTGCACTAACCTTACGGGAACAAACTTTCATCCTGCTGTTACGTAATTGTCAGTAATGCCGGATTGAGAGTTATTCTGGGAACTAAACTACAAGAGTACGAAACACCTTTCTGTAGGCTACATTAAAACTATCCTAGCACTGAACTAGCTGAACTCAGCTTTTTCCAGCTAGAGAGAGACACAGTGTTGACATCCAGGTAGGATTTATATGAGTTGTATTAAATTATTTAAGTCATAGCTTCAATTCTATAGCTGTTCATAGCTTTCAGCGTAGTTTTGATTTGATCCAGTAGTATAGTCAAAATGATCAACAGATATCAAGGGCCTGTCTTCCATTCCAGGTCAGCCCTAAATTACAAAATTGTTTCAAAGAAAAAAAAAGTTTCACAGGAAAAAGTAGATTGGTCAAATCTCATGAAAAGATAGTACTCTTTTAGTTTCTTTGTGGGAGCTGTGCTCCAGAACATGAATCTCTACTGCAAAATTTCCTGTTCTTATCAGTGAGAAAACAGACTGAGAAATCTGCCAAGTACCAGGCTTCCAAAGTGAAGTGACTGCTTCTGTACAGTTATCAGAGACGTTGGAACTCACTAGAGGACAAAGCAAAGACTCCTGCTAGACCCACTTCGAGGCATCATCTGGAGTAGCCTGTCCCTCCCTGGCAATGGGGGTACCTCACCTGAACATCTCATCTGGATATCTAGATATTTATCATACCCTGAATATCTAGATATTTAGGATAGTCCTGCCATCCCTTGAGACAAGACCAGAACAGTTGCCTATTTTGACACAGATGACACAGCTGAGTGGCAAATCAGCCACATTCAGACCCCAGCAGTGCCCTGCACTGGACCAGCCTCTCTCTGCACATGTGTGCCAGCAGGCAAGGACAGCAATGCCCAGGAAATGGTAGACCTGTACTCACCTCTCCTCCTGTGCAGGAGGGACTTGACACTGGATTTCCCACGCTGCCTTAGAGGCTGGTGGTGATTCTGGGTTGGGTACTTACTCTGACTTCTTACAGAACATTTTTAAAAGGTCTTAATTTTATTCTGATGTGTAGTTGGAGGTTAATTTTGCAGGAAATAATAACACTGGCTGTTGGCAGTACTGAGGTGGCTCACTTACTGCTCTTGATGGAAGACATCTGAAGTTATAGGAGACATCTACCCATGACGACCATGGCTTTGTTTTTTATACAGCTCTGGCTTACAAACTTCACATCTTAAACCACAAATGCTCTAAGACGTCCAGAATGTTCTGAGAATGAGTTTGTATTCTTTAATATTGCCAAAATAATTTATATTAATTTCTTTCTGATGCTCCATCACCCAGAGCAAATCTACCTGTTTCTCTCACTGCTTCAGTTCTGTATCATGCTCTTTACGCTATAAACCACTACAGTTTCCAAGCACAAGACAAACAACAACTTCTAGAGGAAAAGATATATTAAACCCAAAGTTTAAACTGATGGTGATTATAAAGATCCCATCCTAAAGCTACAAACAGTCTGAAGCAATATACACTGGGATAAAAGCAGTGTATTTCTGAGAAAGATGCAATAGAGCCCCACAGTGAGTTGAGTTCGAAAAGTTTGCCAATTTTCTACTGAAGCCCCTTTAATGCCTGCCACAAAACACTTGGTAAGATGGCTTTTGTACATCAATCACTCTGATCCACCTTGAAAATGCTGGCCTTTTTCCACTGTTCTGTGATTTAGCCCAGTACAGGCAGTGACTCCAATTCTTCTTGCATATCTCTACATTTACTAGATTTCGTGAACGATCACACAGATGGATGCAGTAGGCTTTCAAACTCAAACTTCTTCAGAAGACATGTATGCTACCCAGTTGACCTGGAGGCTTTGGGAAGTGCTCTTGTCAAAGGAGCATTCAGCTCCACAGGACAGAGAGAAACCAATCTTTTTGGAATCACATTTGTCCTTATCGTCTCATGTTATTAATTTTAATATATAGTGTTATTATGAAATCATTATGAGGATACCTGATTGGGAAGTTGAGAGTTTTTTTAGAATTCTGTTAAGTTATTACTCTTCCCAGTAAATTAATTACTCATACTTATCATAGCTTTATGTAGTCTCTAAAGCAAGGAATTGAACATGCCAGTTTTTCAGATGAGTTCAGCACCAGGTTGTTTGGTTTTGAATTGCTTCAAAAATAACAGCTTAGATTAAGTTCTGAGTAGGAAAGAAGCAATAATAATTTGAATTGGTTTTCTGTTTAGTTCAAAAAGACATGAAAATAACATGTTAAGTTCAGGTTCACTTTGGTACAAAGAAGCCACAAATCAGACCATTTTTCAGGTTTATTGCCTTGTTAAAAGCATGAGGAGCCCAAGCAGCCAATTCCCTTGTAACTGTTTTCAGAACACATCTCTCAGAAGCATTTCAAAACTTTTTTTTTTTTTTTTTTTTAACAATGACTAGAACTACCTGAAAGCCTTTGGGAAAGGTTTGCAGGATAACCAGAACACTAACACAAGCAACTGCGGACACATCTTTTTCCCAAAATAGATCTCCCCCACTAAACCTCTTCAGGTAAATAGCCTGCATCTGCACCTGACAGCCTGATGGTCAACAAGGTGATGACATACTTAAGCAGAAGTACAAGCCCCAGATTGGCTGAGATATTTTGAGCATGCCAAGCATGTCAGGACAGAGGTTCACATGCAAGAGCTATCAGATTTCTCTGCTGTACCTTTCTATATGCCCTGTTGCACAAAGGCGAATTTTGTTCATCTTCAGTGAACAAATCAACTCCAGCAGCAGCAAAAACCAGAGAAACGACCTATTAGGAGTCTTTAGAAAGGGAAAATTACTTACCCACATGCCCAATCAGTGCAGGAGCTGAAAAGAGAAAAGGTTACAAAATGTCACAACTCCAGTTGTTATCTCCAGAGAGAATAAAATGCAAGGAGAACACAGATACTCACCTGCCCATTGCTTCCTTTATATAGGACAGTTTCTGGAAAACAAACAAACAAACAAATCCTAAGTATATTTGATTAACATAAAGTGAAAGGAATTGAAATGCAGTTTATTTCCTTCTCTGTGCCAAAATAATTCTATTCTTTGTGTTTTCATTTAAGTTCAAAATTTATTAACAAAGTCCCCACTGAAAAGAAAATATGTCCTACATTTCCAAAATACAACTGAAACTCAACATCAGACACTATAAAGAGTACTAGGTTTGTCAGAGATGCTCTGCATTTCTACATTGTCCTGCATTGTCCTACAGGTACAACATTCTCTCAACCCAGAGGAGGCCAGAAACAAGATCCTTTTAAGCAAGCAGTCTTCAGAAATTACTTCTGCTACTTGTCTATAAATTTAAAACCATCTTTTGAAAGTACAGTTACATCTTAAAGTAACATACGAGGATTAATCTGATGACTTTGTTTACAGTTATACAAGTGATAGGGATGACATTTGTTCCTGTACTGGTGTATAAAGACTAAGCAGAGCCATGAAGTTCATATTTTTTAATCAAAATTCTTGTGACACTAATGCCATTGGTTCTAGATAAGAGATTCTGGGAGGAATGTCAGAAGAAGTGGAGTAGGTCCTCAGCAGTTTGCAGCATGATAGCTGTTGAGAAATAATGCTGTATCCTGCTGCTGTACCAATGTGAACAGAATACAAAATAGTTATAGAAAATTATTGTCCAGCTAAAAAATTTCTGCTTCTCTGTTTTAGGGGTGGGAAGGGATTGTTTGGTAGAGTGTTTATTGGGCTGTCTTTCTTTATATGATCAATGCAGATATATTTTTCAGTAAAAACAACACAAAGTGGACCAACTCAAGTATCTCCTTTGAAATTAAAATACAATAAACTTAACACATACTATTTCCACTTTGAAAACTTCTCTGCAAAACACCCATATGTATTCAGTGACCTAAGGACTGTCACTCCAAGGTAACCTGATCATTCTTCTTGTGAAGGAGGGGTGAAAAGGCAAAAGAGACTTCTTGAGCAGGTTAGCCTGCTCATTATCTCTTCACCTGTTTTTCTAGGGAAGTGTCGAAATTCAGTCATTATTGATTTGGAGCCATGTCAATGACTACCCTTCTCTTCTTTCCAGGACATCCGTGGACATGAGTGTGATCACAGCTAGAATGGCAGGCAGCTTGGATATCAGCCTGAGGAGGGCTTGCCAAAATACAAAGTTCAGTCAGTTTGCTTTTTAGCATGTTCTTTGACGAACATTTATTGTACAGGTCCATTAAATGAAGCATTCGGAGATACTTTAGTATGAAAAACTAAGACCCAGTGAGACTAGTTTTAAGTGACAAACACAGAAACTAGGTAGTCTACAGTGAAAACTCTAACTTGGGGCCACTAAAGCTATACTGGACTTTGGATGTTTTTTTAAGGGGTCATTACACTGCTCTGTACAATGCTTGTACTCAGCCTTAGTGCACTGGGATCTACAAGGAACAGAGAGACTGATTCCCTCTCTACAAGATTTTGAAAAGTTATCTCTAAGTAGTAGCTCATACAGTAAAAAGTGTTTGTTTGTTAGAAAAGGAGACTTTATTCCATGCTCAGGCAGTCAAGACGGTTTGTAGGTGCTATTAAAAACAATCCTGGTTATTACAGGCCTCACGTATCTTTTCAATACCACCTGCTAGTCTGTACCCAGCAGCTTTACTCACGGGTCCTCAAAGGTCACTGACAGCAGAGGTCAGTGTAATCCTAAACACCTCTTCGAGTAAGATGCCCCAGTGAGGGGTGCCCAGATTAAAAGTCTGTTGCAGGGTAGCCTGAGGAGCTGGGGGCTCCCAGCTTTCCTGAGCCTGGGTCCCTGGACTTAACCAACATATCTTGTTATTTCCAAGTTATCTATTCCATAAATTATAAGATGAACTTCTAAGAACAAAATCTGAAATGTCAAATTATTATTTTAACAGCCAAGGCCTAGAAAAACAAACGTTACACACCGTCTCCACATTTATGTTCTTAAAAGGGCATCAAATTACTAAGTTGTCATCCAATTTTGCAGTAAACTAGCACAGCCTAACACTCTATGATTGCCTGTGAATGAGAGCCTCCGCATAGGGTAGCTGGACTTTCCTTAATTCACCTAGTTCAGGACAGAATATTCTCTCTTCACTGCAAATCATATATTTCATGAAATAAAATACCTTTAAAGGATTACATTCTTTAAATGACTGTTTAAATGACTGGACTTTTCACCATGCTTTCTCAGATGAAATATCCCACTAGATTCAACAGCAGCTTTGCAAAATAATGGTAAAAACTGTCACTTCATATTTGTTTGCTATAAAATGCTGTAAAGCTTTTTTAAAAAAAAAGGCATAAACTTTAAATTCCAAAGAGTTGATAAAAGTATGACCATCACCCATCAAAACCCCTATGCTAATGTAAAGCTTGCACACAGACAATTACCACCTTGCAGCTTTATGCCAGGGGTAAAATCTTAGCATTTACAGTAAATTCAAAAGGAAAGTATGATCTGAATACCCAGTCTCCAGAGGACTGAAAAACAGATTCACACATTTTGGATCAGTCCCACAGACTGAAATATAAGCCTAGTTTTTTAAATTGTTAAATGTAGGGGTTTTCAACCTAGGATGTGAAAACAAAGCATTCCCTATTGCTAAACTAGCACAGTCTGCAATAGTTTGTAGTGTGACTGTCTTCCTCTATTAAAAGTCTAATTTGCATTCCGGTCTGGGGTGTGGGGAAGCACTGACATACTTCAACTTCATTGTGAACAGGCACCTTTTTCCCCTAATTAGAAGACACAGGCTCTAGAGTTCTAATATTGGCTTTGTTTCTCATTTATTACAGAATAGCCTTTGCCAAAACACCTCAACTTTCTGACTCAGTTCCGTCATTAAGAAGCTAGAGTTAGAAACACACCTCCTGCACATGGACCTGCAAAGATTAGTCAATGTCTTTACCCTTTGAATACTGGAAATGATCTATAAATAGTTCTACATAACAGCAGCATCCACACCAAAGCTCAAGGGGAGCTTTTACAAAGTGAAGCTACCTCTGGCAGATGCTTCGTACAAAATTAGTTCTCTTCCTAACATCATTATTATACCAATTCTTCTAAAGCTGGGAGCTGAGTTTTGTGTCATTTGCACTAACACTCCCCTTTCTCAATAGTTAGTTTTATATAATGCAAATTTTTCACAAATTAATACAACTCCAGAACATTGAATACAAGCTACCACAATACCACAAATCACTGGATGAGCTTTTGTCAACTTATGAACTTGCAGAAAAGCAATTATATAGGATACTCTTGCCTGACCCTAAGAGACAGTTGTTATGCACAGAAGACAAAATATCTTGGAGGTAATCCCAGGAAGGAGAAAAAGGTGGAGGAAATGTCAAGGAGATCTGAAATAATCTCATATTAGTTTAATCCTGTCTGTGTAGTATTGTACCAAGCATATTTGATTTAACATCACATATACACTTCATTTAAAACAGGAAAGTCATACCAAGAAATGACTCTCTCTCTGCCTGTCCCACCATGGTGCACGGCAGAACCACGCTCTCATGAAGACAAGGCCACAGCATTGGGGATAATTCAAGGAAATGGATCACAATGTCCAGAAGTGAAACTGTAGGGAAAGAAAGGATGGGGAGCAGTGCTCTGAGGCACATCCCTGATAGGTAAGGTAAAAAATACGGCCTACAGTAAGAAGAGAGATAACAGGGACAGCTTAGTGGAACAGACAGCTCCACAGCAGAGGTGAACTTTCAACACAGAAATGATTCTTCAGTGTGTTTTGGGCAGTGCTATCTAGAAACAAAGAGCAAAACACAGAAAATGAGGAAAAACTAGAGACTTGCAAAGTAAAGGATCTGACTGGACAGGGTTGATGAGGATGAAGCATCGTTTCTGAGCTCTGCCTGGAAAAAGATGAGCACAGGCTTCATGGTTGACAGTTTTTGTGCTCTGTCAGGTGCAAAGGAGAGATCAGAAAGGAAGATTTAGGCTGGAATTGGAGCAGAGTGACCAGAAATTGCCTAAGAGATGGAAGGGAGATGAGGCAAGATTCGAAGAAGCAACTAAAGGTTTGCGTAATTGTGGCAAAGGTTGTGGGGTTTTCAAGTTAGAGAAGGATAAATCTTGTAATTGAAAGAGTCTAAGTCAATAGGAGAACAGTAAGTGTAGGGATAAGAGTGAAGGTGAAGGAAATCTGACATTATGGCTCAAAGGAGGGCAAGGGAATTTCTGTTTTGCATCCATAAGGGGGAGTGGGAGATGTGAAAGAGCAGACAGGGTCTTCTTTTTTCCAGGTCTAGAAGAATCTGGAGGTGTTCTATGCAAAATAAAAAATGTGAAGGACTGGAAACTGTGGTTGGGACATTTGATTGACCCTGAGATTGGCTCATTTGGTTAGAGCATGATGCTAATAACACCAAGATTGTGGGTTTGACCTTGTATGGACCATTTAATTTAAGAGTTGGATTTGATGATCCTTGTGGGTCCCTTTCAACTCAGAATATTCTGTGATTAAACAGAGAAGGACAATGGTTAGTTCACAAAACAGGAAGAGGAGAGACTGCAGAAGGAGTCTTTCTGCTGCAGGAACCTTGGGAAGACAAAATCATCTACTTCTGTGAGGTATTCAAACTACAGCACTGGGAGTAAGTGGTTACAAATGACTCACATCGGTGGGATGCTGCATCCCACCTTTGAACACAGCTCTCAGAACTCAGGCAAAATCACTTATTTTACACTGCTAAGTGCCCATTTCAGCATGCTAAGGAGGTGTTTTGTTATGCTGCCCATTCAGGCATCCTAAGTCTTCTGCCCCTTTTACCCCAACCTGTCACTGAGCAGTTAGTTAGTCAGTCTGTGCTGCAAATACTCTGAAACAGATGGAGCTGCTGATGGGTTGGAAAGTCAATACTAAATAAAAGTACTGATGAGTCAACACCATCTTGTCCCAGGAGCTTTTCAAGTTGCCTTTTGGTAGGTTAGCACCTCTCATCACAGTTTTGGGGATTCCTGGGCAAACTGCATTTTGGTTCTCAAACAAAGCTGTTGCTACAACTCCTTTCCAGGGTTAACTTTGAGCTTAACTCGTGGCTCTCAGACGCACCAAAAAGTGCATACAGCACAAATCTCTTTCTCACCAGAAACCAAAAATCACACAGACCCACTTCCTTTGAAAAGGATTCATAACCCAATCCATGTTGTCCCATTTCATATGCCCAACACTGTCAGATATGCTTTGTTATACACCTGGGGCTGTATATGAGCCCTTAGCAGGTATAGCTGAGTATCTGCTCAACAGATTAAGTTATGGGAGCTCCCTTAATTCTTCATTTCTCATGACACCTTTTCTCAATGTCTTGTCATTGTAGATTGTCATCAGGTCTATGAGGAACAGTAACTCAGTAAAACTTCATTTTCTGAAATTTAATTGAAGTGTGGAGAAGTAGAAATTGTGACATATAATCTGCCATAAAGGATGGATTTGCCCTAATACATGCCCACATTGGAAATGCAGGAGGCAGACAGAACTTTACCCTGGAAGCACTCCAATATCATGCTTTAAGCTGCATTTTGCTATGGATTTGGATGGAGATTCAGCTTGGAAACCCCACAGATTTATTTTTCCTAATTTTTAGATACGCTGAACTTCTTTTGAGAGAGAGAAATGGAAAATTCACAGCATGCAGGACATCTAAAAATTAAAATTCATGTTGCTATCTACCAAAAAGTAATGCAAAAAGACACTCTGAAATAAGACTGCCAGAAACTGCCAACATGCCCAATATAAAAGAGGCAGTAGAGCAATGGTGTGGCACTAACAGCCAATATATGCCAAAAGAAAAGCAGAATTACTTTTATCAGCTGCATGCTCTGAACTAAACTCTTGAAATTAACCACAGCTGATTTACAGACATTAGAGAGCAGAGGAAGTTTAGAGAGAAATGGTATTTAATGAGGCATGTAATGGCCAAACAAAAAAACTACTGCTAACTATGTATGCTGCTTTTCTACAGTGCCAGGCAGAAGTGAATTTTCCTTTTTAGCAACAGAGTGGGGACTATTCACATGTATCACACTTGCACACTGCAGAGTACTGTGCACTGTGACATGATGGCAGCCCTTGGATGAGAAGTGCTCAGCACTTTAGAGATTGAGTCTAAGGAACGGAAAAACAAATGGCAACACCTGACCATGAACAAATGAAGGAAAATGCTGTAATGAGAGGGAAACAAAACCTCACAAACAGTGGAAAGGCTTGACCACACAACTTGGTCAACTTAGCTGGTGAGAGTGGAAAGAATAAGAGGATAGGACGAAGGATGTTCTTAAAAGCAGAGATGTATTCACTGGATCTGTTTGAACTTTAAAAGGCTTCACACTCTGACAAAAATTTTGTTCACGAGCACACATGAGAATGGTGAGTCAGCACTAGAGCTAACAATTAAACTCACACTCTGACCTATGTATTCAAAAATACACCATTGGATCTTTTGAAGGTGGCTGATTGGAGGATGTGAGAGAGAGCTATTGCCTTCAGTCTTTGGTTCAAAGTTAAATTGAGTTCAGGTTTTTATTTCAACAAAAACATCACCTGACAGATTTGTGACATTTTATGAGGAGCACAGTGGTGACAGCATTCAGTCCCTCTTATCACTGACTAGTCTGCCATCAAATCAGCCCAACAACTGTCACCTTTTACCAACTGTGCTGAAAGCAAATAGAAGGATGAACAGTCTTTTTCCAGAATATCGCAATGCTGAAAGGAATATATCCATCTACAGGAAAAAGGAAACCTAAATTACACATAAACCAGATCAAACACAGAACACTTTATCTGACTCCACTGTAATGCTGCAGAGCCATACCCAAAAAGGTAGAGCAGCAGTGGGAAGTTAGATGCATCACCCTCTTTGCAAGAGTCATTTTGATTTCTTTTAATATGCTGCCAATATAGATCATCTCACTGCCAAAATCTTACATAAAACAATGATGCATGCACTCTACACATAAAAAAATCAAATGAATTTTATTTCTCTCAATCTTTTTGCAAAGTCTTCTAAGGATAACAGCATCATCACACATCACAGAAGCAAACTGGCTGGCATCACCTGTGAAGACTAACATGAAGGCTCAGGAGAAAAAAAAACCAAACAAAACACCTTCTTTTCATTATCCACAACAGTTTTATATTCACATTCTTTAGTGCACATTCCTAGCATACAAGTCCATAAAAGAACAGAAGGGAAAAAAGTCAGTGCATCCACACTGGCTGAAAATCACTGATCCTATGGGATCAAACATTTAAGACTTATCATAAGTTTCATAAAACTACTCATCCATTAGCTTTCAAAAGTAGAAGACACTCTAATCTTAAAGAAGTCCATAAGCCACCATGCATTTTACAACAGCCTTTTATCCAGAGAAATTAAGCTATCTACTGTATCTTAGATGAATACAAAGTTAAACACTTAATTTTAAGATTCACAAACTCCTGAAAAAACATCTTGGTATTTCATTTGAGATAGGGTTCTTTAGTTTGGCTTAACACCCCTTTTGTTATCTTTAAGGTAAAATAAGCTTGCTCGAATTGAAATAACAGACAATATACCGAGATATTCAGCATTTTTTTTATTACCTTGTTTTACACTCATACTCTGATTTTAACTTCTGCAACTCCCCATGGTGACAATGTTATCAATTGCCTTCATAGGACACCAAAGATTTTATGTTTTTAGGTACTCTCATTTCAGTCAGGCAGCAGTGTGCAGACACCACAAACCTATAGAACATCAAACAGGCAATTTTGCCATATGTCTGGGTAGCATCAGAAACACAGTTCAGAGTTTCCTGCCTCAAAGTGCCAGTTGGACTGAAGGCATCTCAGTGTGCAGCTCAGAGCAGGAAGGCAGCTACATGCCACAGGGGGAAACACGCCACAACCTGACTCATGTCATGCTGCCTTTTCCAACAAGGTGTCAGACACCATCTACTTGTCAGGAATATACTTATGGAAAACAACATTCTCTTCATCGCTGTTGCTTCTTTCTCCATTAGATCAGCCATAACTTTTGGAACTGATCTCAGAACTATGGATCCAAGAGCTGGAATACTCATGCCTATTCATTTTAAGGGCTCCCCACATTACTGCCTGTGATATGCCAAGTTCCACATTGCAGTGGGACATCATGTTCTCACCCATGAGAAAACACCAAGCAAGTGCTGTACCCACCTTCACAATCAGACTCCGGTGCTCCTCAGATTGACTGAAGTTTGTGCCCATTTCAAAGATACTCATTATTCCTTCCTCACACAGGCTCATCCAGGCATTATATTCTTCACGCTCTGGCAGTCTGTCCCAGAATGTCTTGAAGACCTCCCAAACTGTTTCCTGACACACTGAAGGCACAAGAAAGGTCTGGTGTTAGTATAACAGGAGTGCTTCCGTAGTTTCCTAACAACCATCAAGAATAATAGTATTTTTACTGAGTGAAACTGCTCTTTGATCAATGGGTCAAATTAGAAAACTTAGAAAATCAAAATAGTATGGCAAATGTCCTCACAGAAAGTAGAGCTGGAACTTAATTTGTAAGAATGATAGTGGCACTGTTCAAAGTTTTAGAGGCTCAAGTAGGAACAATTCCTTTGGACTCATCTTTACACAGAATTTAAAATACGTTTTAGGAATTATAGTTGCATTAATAACTTGAAAAACAAGGTAGGATGATGAAAAAACAATAATATGCCAAGAAATAAGGCAAGCTCTAACCCTACTACATATATCCACTGAGAAAGAACTGGACAGCTCTGAACAGTCAGACTGAGAATTAAGAGTTAAATTGTCTTGTACTACCCTGGCTGCTTTAATCTCCCGATATCTGTCTCTGAATGTGCTCTTTGCCAATCAGAGCAGTTGGTCACATTACCCTTAAGCAAGAACCTCTCTGTGATCCAGGATAACTGGAAGAGAGGAAGATTTATAGGATTTTCCTTGTGTCCTAGAAGAGAACAACATTAAAAGGTGAACTCTAAAAATCACTCACAACAAATGCCAGGCTGGAGTAGTAGCAGACAAACCTGTTTTTTGGCCTTAATCTGATCTCACTGTTTAAATAGACAGTCCAGCAGAGGAATGCTTTGCATTCTGGGAGAGTCCTGATATCGTAAGCACAACTCTACAGGAGGCTGACCATGAATCTATTTTCAGAAAGTCATTTTCTTCAAACAGCTTAAAAATTAGCTCTAGGCTGCCAAAATCAGCACCTTACTGTTATTTATTCTTGATTCTTTGTATTCTGGATTCCAAAATTGTTTATATGTGCATATGTAAAACTTAACACATATATTACATATGGAAACATATTTTTATTCAACTAAGAGATAGACATTGTTCTTAAATGCAAAGGCTTTGCAAATAACGACCTTAAGGAACTGTTTCCCATGCAGTAACACCCTTAAAGCTTAGCTGATTCTGGCACACTGGATGGTACCATGGAGGAAAATGTTCTTTTCTTTTTTCGACCCTGAATTTTAGTTTATCAGAGCAGTTGAGACCATTTCTCCATTGTGGAACTCTGCAGATACACAGATATCTCTCATTTGTATGCCACACTCCTGACAGCTTTCCTGTGTGGAGATCAGCCCTGTAGCTCCTTTGATATGTATGACCAGAGAAGAACACGCTCCCCCAACTCTGCATTATTAACTGTCAGTAGTATAATACTATTCCAGAACCCCTACAGGCAGTTGTAAAAAACAGTAATTTGGAATGTATTGGATATGTTTCCAATCAGTTTCACTTATGCATCTTCGTTAATCAGAAACAAATTGACAAATTGACGATTTCATATCATCCCCTCAAGTTACCCTTGCAAAATTCTTTAGGCAGGGACCACATTTCCGTATGACCTCTGCACAGACCTCAGGCAATGAAGCCATAATCCTGCTCTGGGATTTCTGGATCCTGCTAGAGTACTAATAAGCTTCCTGAGGCAGAACAACATCTGCAGTATTCTCTCTACCATCCCACTTGTAAGAGCTAAGCATCCAGGAAAAGACTGAAGTCTAGTATCAAATCCAGAAGCCTACACTAAGGCTCTCATTTCTTTTGGTGGTACTTGTATCCTACACTTTGACTAATGGATCTTTCACTCCAGGTACAACATTATAAAGCAACAATCCTGGAATGAGATTACTCCCTTGGGCTGGGATAAGTCCTCAGCAGACTGTCAGTAAGAACTGAAGCTATGACAAAAGAGCTTGCACATTGCAGTGACACTGTCTAATCCTAGAGTTTTCAAAGGGCAACAGGCAAAGGACTGGCTTTCCAGTTGCAAGTAATTGAAGACAGTTTTCCTTAATGCTCTTAAATAAGTTTAAAATAAATGTGATGAGACAGTGTCTTGCCTGAATACAAGCTGGTCCCATATGAACAGTTGTTCCAATCAGCTCCCAATAGATTAAGGATTTGTTGTGTGTCCTTTCATTTGGAATTAGACACCCCACTGAATTCCAGTCCCAAAGGCTTTGTGCCATCTGTGGGCTACAAGCCCATTAATTAGACCTAAGTTGTCAGAACAGTTATGTATTCTGTGGAAGAAGGAAATGGGATGTGGATAAGGAGTCACATTTTGTTCTCTCTAGCCTGTCCTACCTCACTGTTTCCACAGAGGTGAGCAGTAACAAGCTGGACAACATGGTGCAAATTCCTTCTGTATTCAGAAGGAAAAGGTAGGCACATTTCTACCTCCTGTGCAGTATGAGAGTGTGTTAGTTTTGACACACAGGGAGGGATTCAAAGCAGGCAAACATCTACCACAACTGCCATTTAATACTTGAAACCACATCCTCAGCCACGGTGAGCTGCTCGCCAACATGCTCACCCTGCAACCTTGTTGACACACAGTCCATCTTGTCATTGTCCTATTTATTCCAATTGGCCAGTTTGTAAAGCGGGGGATTGCTTTACAGGATAACAAATCCAGGTTGTAAGGACTCAACACAAACACCATCCCCAGATAGGCTTATCTATATGGTGTTCAAGAACAAATTCATGGCTAAGAAAGAGAACAATTTTGTTTCAGTCTGTCTCATAAATGTTTTCATCGTTTTGTAGTTAGATGAGAATCGCGATTCCAAGCGCAGAAAGAGAGCAGCACAGTTTATTTGGTGTGGTTCAAACCACGTATACGTAAAGGAAGAAACAAGCACAATTCTATCTCCCATCTCTGCTTCAGATATGTCAAAAAAGGAGCTAGTTCTTTGAAGCCAGGAGCCAGCTTCATTGACATGGCCACACAGGGAACTGAAGAGACACTGTGCTCACAGTGCATTCAAGTCACCTAATAAATGCTTTTAACTTGAAGGTGGAGCCCACCCCTGTGATGTGTTTTTGACTATCCAAGTTTTTGGTTTTTCTTTACTAGGGAGGTTTTTCAAGGTTTCTTATCAACAAATTCTTGAGAACTCCCATATAAGAAAAACATGTTTTTCATTAACTAGATTTTAAGTCTCAGAGACTCTGTAGACAAAAGTTGGAGCACAAAACCATAAAGTTAAAAAGGACTTTACTGAGAGCTTCGGTAAATAAGTATAGCTTACTGTATAAAAATAACTCACTATCTTTTCTTTCTGACCTTCCAGAAACTTGCCAGTATCTGTGTCACATACACTGTCTACATATGCTGACAATATGTGAAGCTCCTTGAAACCAAAAGAGAAAATGAAAGAAAATGAGTGTCAGGGGAACCAAACAGTTTACCCCTTAAACTTTTTAATTAGAAATGTAACTTTGACTTTTAAATATAAAACATTTAAAGTATATAGGGAATGAAAGAAAAATTGCAATGTTAGAGCTTATAATAAATTGCCAGCAGCCCAACACTTCAGAGTTGTGACTGAAGCTGCTGAATAGGCTTTGCATTATGATCTTTCCAGGATTTACGTTTCTAAGACTAGCTATGAAGTTCTTAAAAACAACCAATCAAGCAGCCAGTCCTGCCAGCATCAGGAAGGAACGGCTGAGCAGACCCAGCAGCATTGCCACATGCCACCTGAACAGCAGATCAGCCCTCAGGGCACGTGTGAAGAGCCGGTCTTCATGGCTAGATCTCATGCCACACTTTCACTAGCCCATTACAGCGCTGGCCACCGCGCAGATATGCGGGACAGCATTAGCAGCACCAGGCCCTGGAGGAGACAGGATTTGTGATGAGGCCTTTAATCCCCAGCAAACAAAACTGATTAAAAGAATCATAAAATCAAGATCAATCTTTTAAGGCAGTGAGCTAAGGGTCTTGAAGCTACTCATAGATGGGAAGGTAAGCTCCTCTAGGAAATTTCTTCCATCATCCCATGGCCGCAATAATAAATAATTTGTATTTTACTGTTAACTGATCTCTTGGCTACCTTGCAATTTTCCTCTGAGTAATTCAAATGTTAAAGAAATGAAGGTTTATGATATAAAGAGAGGCTTCCTGCTACAGGGATGCGATCATTCCAGCTGACTACAGGAAAGGAAACAGGTATGCTGAAGACATGTAACTGACTGGCACAACAAACCAGAATTCAAACCAGGAATGCAAATCACATGGCTTGTTGTGCAGTTTGTCTCCAAAGTACACTTTGTATGCACGTACTACATTTTCCATGTACTCCATCCTGAAAAACCTCGGAAATTAAAAGTCACTTAACTCATCATTTAGAGAATCATCTTCAAGGTGAGAGAGGAGACAGGAGAAAATTGAAAGACCGGAATGCGTGGTCCATGCCCTTGTGCAAACTTCTACTTGAGCCAAGTGTCACAAGCACTTAAAGTACGCAATGTCTTGACCTTTAAAGGTTTCAAAGGCTGCTTCAGAAAGCTGGACATGTTGTAAGACCATATGATTTGTCTGCTAGCATATCTGATTCAAAAGACAAAAAGCCCAGCTCTTGGAGCTTATGTACTTCAAATGCAGTGTTTACACTCAAGTGATGCTCACAGATAATAGAGAATATCCTGAAAAGCTTAAGATAGTTGTGTTTCAGCCCAAAAAATTCGACATAGGCAGGCACAAGCTCTTTTCAGTGTTAGAAATCTGCAGGAAGGGGTGAAAAAAATTTATTTCAGTCTTTCTTTCCTAAAGACTTAATCACAGTTTTCAAAGCCTCCAGCTAAGATCTGTGATGTGACGAGATGATCTCTCTCGCTCTTTCTGAAATTCTCCGGTATGGCTACACATCTCATTCACCTGGGTAGGACATAGCATTCTTGTGGTTCAAGCTTTACCATCGGGGATGCATTTATCTCTCAAACAGAGACAATTAGCCTATTACACTCAGTCTGTGCTCAGGGATTTCTGAGGTTAACAGAAGGGGCACCACATGACAGCACTGAGCACCCTGTAGGGGGTAGGGTGGCTTTCTGGCCATTTGTGTAAGTGGGCAGTGCTGGAGTGTAATCCAAGTTAAATCTCATTAGTGCTTCTTAAGAGTTGAATCGTGTATGGTGGCTAGGAGCACTGAATCAGGCTGAAAATTCTATTTTGAGGCAACATGAGACCAACAACTCCTCCTCTCTAACAATTTCTGCACAATTGAATGGCTTAATTGCAGAGGGGTTTGATTAAGACTAAAGTGACAGACACCTCCTAAGAGGTCTTCCCTGCAAAGACTTCATTAGCACTTGTTAAATGAACTAATACACACAGGCAGAGAAATTACTCATCTACTGCTGAAATGCTATTGTTTATGGTCTATAACACAGCAACCCTTAAACAATTTATAAAACACACCAGGATATTAAATTGACATGGAGTTGAATGTTAATTAGCTAATCCACATGAAAGATTTTTTTCTTTGAACACTAACATACTAATCTCTAGCTCACAAACTATTTTCACCAGTAATATTTCAGTAACAACAAAGGAGTGTTTTTCATGGAAAAAGTCAAGCTTCTTAGAAGCATATGCTGACATCTAAAAAATTCAAACGTAGAGGGAGACAGAATTAGTCCTTTTACAAATAAACTTCAGAAATTTATTGCAGGGTATGAACTATGCATAATACGTGCCAGGGATGAGGGGGAAACGGGAAAAAAGGCTCACTCAGCCAGATTCTTTATTTATTGAATGTTTTTTTTAGCCAGGTACTTTTTATGACTTGACTGTTTGATTTCATCATTATTAGCAAGATCTGAATAATCTATAACATTTAGGATTTCAGTATCAAATGGAAACTTTACTCTTTACTCTGTCAATGTGCTTAAGTAAACAGATTTGAAGGAACCCATGAAATGGGAAGATGAGCAAGCACAGTGCTATGCCCAAGATTACCAAATTTAGGGATTATAGTCATACATAGCATTTAATTCCTGAGAAACAGCTTTTACTCTTTCCAAAGTTCAAAAATGCCTGCGTGTCTCATCAGCTATGACACACTTCAATGCCCTCTATTTCCTTGTTTGGTCAGTATCTTCAAAAGCTATCCTTAGATGTTCAACTTTATCTGAAGTTCTGGCTGACAAACACAGTTCTGGCAGAGAGACTATCTGATTTACTCACGCGAAAAGATGTATTCACTCACAAGCATACACTGAATAGTTTAAGACAGAGGGTCACAGCAGGAAAAGCTGCTAACAGAATTTAGGAAAGGTAGCCAACAGAGTAATTATATCTCAGAGGCGGCAAAGAGAAACAGTATTACTCTGAACCATGGTGTTAAAATCCAGCAGAATCCAGCAGCCTCTCTTTTACCCAATTTACAGGCATGGGACAGGGAAACAATACAAGCCATGCCATTTTGTAATCTTTATATTGTTTCTGTTTAACCTGCTAATTCAACTTCTAAGTCTATTACAATCCTCAGCCATCTACCAGCAATTTACACAATAGAGAATGGACAGATTCACTGAATTGTCTACATAAGGTGACTGGTCACGACAGACTTTTGGTCTGTGTGGGTATGGCTATTTTTTGTGTAATAAATTTTACTTGACTGAGGCTCAGACTACCATTTCCCTGTCAGCAGTAAAGAACATTATTATTCATAATAGGTATTACCATATACAGCCCACTCACTATCTGAAATCCAGATGTTGTGGTCAGAGAAAAAAAAAAAAGCTGTTAAGCCTACAGCAATACGACATAAGCACTTCCTTAAAGCCTATGACAGAAGCGTTCATCTGTCAGTCTTTGACACTTACAGAGGCTTTTGCCAGCTAGCAAAAGTAAATAAACCTAGGAGCTACAGGTAGATAATTATATTCCCACCTGTTTCCTTTAAGGTAGACACAGATAGAACAAACATAATCTGGATAATCAGCACATGCAAACCTTTCTGCTTTTCTAACAAGATCTTCCATCAAAATAGCAATTGACCTTTCCTTCCATGGTAGTGGCACTGTTTATTGCTCACAGTAAAACAAAACCATGGAAAGAATAGATTGTATTGAAACCATCCTTTCCAGAGAAAGTACAGGAGATTGAAGCAATTTCTTACTTCAACAGATACAGAATAAAAAGATTTTAAAAATACACACTGGGATCAAAAAAATCAGCAGATTCTGTGTACATTCATATTTATTCCCCTTGCGGTCAGTTATTTTATTAGTCACTGACAGTAGCTGGTGTCTGAGTGACAGTGACCACACTCTTTCCTAGGACTATTTTGTTGACAGAGGACTGTGGTGATTCAGCTAGCTAGTAGAAACATTGTATATAATTCAGTAATACACAAGAAACAGTTTTACTGTGAATGAAGGGTTGACTCTGGCTGGACATCAGGTGCCCACCAAACCTGTGCTATCACTTCCCTCCACAGTCAGACAGAGGAGAGAAAATATAACAAAAGGCTTGTGAGTCAAGAAAAGGACAGGGAGAGATAACTCACCAGTTACTGTTATGGGCAAGACAGGCTCAACTTGGGGATATTTTTATAATTTATTACCAATCAAATCTGAGCAGGGCAATGAGAAATGAAAACAAATCTTGAAACACCTTCCCCCCACCTCTCGCTTCTTCCCAGGCTTAACTTCACTTCTGGTTTTCTCTAACTCCTTGCCTGCAGTGGTACAGGGGGAGGACTCCTCACACTCTTCCCCTACTCCAGTGTGGGGTCCCACCCACAGGAGACAGTCCATGAACTTCTCCAATGTGAGTCCTTCCCACAGACCACAGTTCTTCACATACTGCTCCAGAGTGGTTCCTTCCATGGGGTACAGTCCTTCAGGAACAGGTTGATCCAGAATGGGTCCCCCATGGGGTCACAAGTCCTTCCAGCCTGGGCTTACCACAGGGTCACACCCTCTCTCAGGAACCCATCTGCTATGGTGTGTGGTCCTGCACAGGTTGTAGCAGGATCTCTGCTCCCCTGTGGATCTCCATGGGCTGCAGGGGTGCATCCTGCTTCACCATGGTCTGCACCACGGACTGTAGGGGAATCTCTGCACCAGGGCTTGGAAAACCTCTTCCCCCTTCTTCTGCACTGACCTTGATGTCTGCAGAGCTGTTTCTCTCACATATTCTCACTCTTCTCTTCAACTGCAATTGCTGTTCTGCAGCAGCTTTTTCCCTTTCTTAGATATGTTACTCCAGAGGCGTTGCCACTTTTTCCTGATGGGATCAGCCTTGGCCAGCAGCAGGTCTGTCTTGGAGCCAGCTGGCATTGCCTCTATCGGACATGGAAGAAGCGTCTGGCAGCTTTGCAGAGAAGCCACCCCTGTAGCCCCCTGCTACCAAAACCTAGCCACACAAACCTATCCCACAGCACATCAACTCTCACATACCTCAGGTCCATTTACTCAGGATGTGATTAACTAGACACCACCAAACACAGTGCAAAGTGTTGCTCCTACCAAAATGAAGATGACAAATTGCTTGAACCAGATCTTGCTCGACCAGCTGCTACTTAAGTCATCCCTGCTACTTGCAAGACCTTTTTCAAAAGTTTTAAGTTAAAAGTGCTTAGGGTTGTCATAGCATCTGTGCTCAAGAAATCCTTGTGGATTATGAAAGTTGTTAAGTCCAGTAAGGAAGCGGATGGAATAGGTGGATTTTTGGTTCAACCTAGGATCATTAAGTCCTATATACAATTCTACAACATAATTTATGGATTTTCCTTCTTTATTAAAAGCTCACACTTTTGCTTACTTGATGTTGTCCTTATGTGCCAATATCACAGACAACTGAGGGGTGACTGCAGTTAAAGCACACGGTATGTATGGATTCACTGGGAGCAAAACAAAGAGCAGTTGAGTGCTATTGGGTGGATAAACAGGAAGATGGCAAAGCCTGTCAAACTGCCAGCATGATCATCAATGTCAACATGCCTTGCCAGCTGGGCACACTTCATATTTGAATGAGGGTCTAATCTCATATAATTCCACTTTGTCCTCCAAGTATGTTCTTTATGTTTACTTTTATGCAGACACTAAGCAACTCCTGCTTCTAATAGTTTTTCACTTCTCTAAGCGAATAAACTGTGTTACCAGTAAGAGTTTCTTCTATAGGCAATCAAGTCTCACTAAAAATAAGTCTCTGAACATCCTTCCTTCTCCTGTGACAGCACCTCTTTGCCATTTTGCCAGTTATGTACAGATGTTAAGATACTACAAACTTTTTGAATGCTACAATACAAAGACACAAATACCAGAAGGTACTGCATGTGACACCCCACTCCAGTGTTGTCAGCCAGAAGGGTTTGAGGCACATCATATTGCTGTAATATTTCATCAAGTGAAAGAATATTTCAACTTTTCAGGGAAAGCCCTGTCCAACTTCCACATCTTAAAAGAGAGGCTTCTTGCCTATTACACTACAGCCTGATACACAGAGATTGGCTTTCTAGACAGAACATACTATGCTTTGTGTGACCAGCCATAGTCAAAAGTCACATGCTTGAGACACCAATGTCTCAGATTTGACCCTTCTGACTGATTCCCCAATGAATTCTGCTAGCACCTGAAGAATACTAAATAAAAACAGTCATTTAGCTAACCTGCATAACCTGCTAACCTGATAAAACCCTGTTTTTCTCAGCATTCAAAGTGTTCTGTGAGAAAGGATTAGTTTATTAAACACTGAGGTTCCAGGGACCCAGAGTTCTTATATATGAGTGTAACTAGAAGGTGGGTTTTTAGCTCAGAACAGCTCTCTTAAGGAAGATTATCACAGAAAATTAAATTTCTTGGGTAATAATGTATTTCCTATGGCCTGGTGTTTACTGTGTTTAAAAGCTTGATCTATTTCTTTTCATAAATACATGTTCTTTGCATCCATGAGATTTACAGTCACTTACCTCTGAGCCTGAAATATTTCAGGTGGTTGGCAATTGCCTGCTCAATAGATTCATCAGGGCAGATCTTAACTCCACTGGGAAACAGAATGGATCGCTTCCTTCGTAACAGCAAATGCCTGTTGAACTGTTCAGCCTCCATGATGCCATTGGGCTTTTTCAACTCAGGAGGCAGAGAAGGGTTTGCCAACTGCCAGCCACTGAGCTGAGGGGTTGGTGAAACACCTTTAGCCTGTCCTCCTCCTGTAGCTGAATAAACTTCTGCTGTAAAATTAAAACCACAAATAAATTTCTCAGATGAAATAATGATGAAATCATATATATCTTCATGTCATTTCTATGGTCCCTGGAGGACAAAACTGTGCTTTTTTCTGTTAACAGAACCTGTCTGTATGATTGTCCTATTATAAAAAACCTTAAGCTCTTTACAGCATCCCATCAAACGGTTACACGGCCTAAAGCTCTAACTCTTTGAATTCTAATGCTTTTTGGTTAACTTCCCTTCTGTGATTTGGCTTGGCTAAGTCAATGGGGCTATATTTGTGAATAAAAATCTATTTAGAAGCTTTCAGGACCAGAAATTAAATAAGTCATTAATTAAGGACTACTCTTATTCCGTACTTTCTTTTCACAGGAAACATTTATATCCCTCGCAAAAAGAAAAGCTGCTTGAATGGACAGCTAACAGGTACACCTTTCACTGCTGTGAGACAGGTCCCTACTCAACCAGAGCAAAGGGAAAAAAAGTAATAAAAGAGCTCATCAGCTTCAGGGCTTTGGTTAATTTCCTCTTATACTAGTTGTTCCACATCATTCCAGAGGAAACTTGTGAAAACAGCTGAGGATAGAATGTGTATATTGGGATTTAGTCTGACAGTCTAGTTCTCTATCCTTCACAGTCAGCTGATCCAAAATTATTTAATTCAACCTCTTTAACTTTTTCCCCAGAAAACATGCCTGAAGAAAAATCACAAGAAATTATTTATTGGAGAAAGAACAGTAGTAATTTTTCATTCCACAGATTATGAGTTTATTCTGCAACTTGAAAGTCAGTAGCACCTTTGACTTCTATGACTGAAAGATGAAGAGTGTGATTATTTTGATGTTATATTAATAGTCAGCTCTAGTGCAGAAGATCACCACCAGATGGTACATCAGAGGGAGAAAAGAACATCAAAAATGTCACTAAGGCAAAATCCCAATCTTTACTCAAACTGACACATATTCAGTGTCCATAAGCAGAAGACAGAACCTTACTTTTTAAATTCTAATACAAAATCAATAAAGAAGAAAAAAATTACCAGTGTTTAACATCTCCCAAAGTTGGAAAAATTGCCTCCTGTAGCTACATTCTACACTCAAAAAACCACAAACGTGCTGTTATACCTCATGGAAGTCACTCTAAATATTCCATATTTACACTGCTATCAAGGCACAGATTTGACCAAACATTTCTCTGTATTAGCTCCCTTTGTTACAATTAAAGCAGAGAGGTATTTCTAATTCTACACACTGCCATAGGTAAACTTAGAAAAAAAGTACATAAGTAAGATTTCCGCATTACCTGCAACTACCTGAAGATCGGCGTTAATCATTCCCGGAAGGCAAAGAAAGATTTTCCAAATTAAGCCAAACATACTTATTTGTGTACAAAAAAAAATAAATAGAAAAGCAAAAAAAAAAATCCCTTTTAGCAAAAGAGCTGTTGTCCTTAAGGTAGCCTTGAACCAACCAAGAGCATTGCCCTTCTTGAAAATGTTTTGACGTCACATATCATTATCTTCGGAGAAAACATTAGGTAAAACAAGTCAACCAAGACATCCTGGGAATGTTCTTTTCAAAGACAGTATTCCGCTTCAGCGAAGAAACAAGAAAAGGTGATCAAAGTGAACTCCTTGGAGCTAGCAGATGGACTGACACAATTTTTTAATTTTAATCTGACCAGCTAAGCTCTTTACCAGAGCTTGTCATACCATTAACAGACAGTCCAAACAAGGACAGCACCTTTCACATCCAATTAACCACGTTTTTTCATTGGTCTTTCAATTTCTTCTCTTTTTTAAAACCATGCTGACCATAAAGCATCAGAGGGAGCATGCTAGTCTCCAGTGGAAGGTCTCAGCATGCTTTGTGTTCTGCCTATACAAATATATATACATACATAAATGTATGGCTCGCTTAAACACCATTGCACATGTAAGCACGGAAGCAACCTTTCTGTAGGACTGTTTCTTCTGGTGACAGGGCTGCTGCCTGAGTTTGTGCTAAAGGAGAAAGTCTTACACCACTATCCCTTGCATCCCAAAAACAGTGCTTCCTCCAAAGATAAAGCCAGGGCACGTTGTGATTCTTTCATCTCTGTTCAGGTATTACCTGACACAAGCAGTAGGAACAAATTAGTGTAGACACCCGAAGAGATCATCAGCCAAGGACGAATACAGAAAGGAGAGAGTACTGGAAAGCAGTAGCACCTCCTGTCCAGGGTCAGGTCGTTGTGGAAACGTGTACGGAAGCTGTCCTGCAATGGCAGACTGTATTCAGATGACTAGGAGATCTCCAGGGCTGTCTCCAGGGTAGTGGTACTCAGGACTTGCTGGTTACTGTGTTCAGATCAATCTGAACAAACTGTTGTTTTGTCTGAAGTGACTATTTTTGGTAGTGGTTTCGTGTAAGCATTTCAAAGCTGGATTCCCAAGGCTTCCCAGGTATCTGTCTGCAGAGCTTTTGTACAGAGCAGCTTAAGCATACAGTGCTCACTCCTCTCTTCCAGCTGCTCTTCTGAGCTCCCAGGAACTCACATATCAGGAATTATCAGTATTATATATATATGACACTGACAGGAATCAAATAAAATCACCTTTGTTTTTAGGCTCTGTCTTCTGACATGAAACAGATTCCAGCTGGTATTTTTCAAAACACCAACATATGTTCTTAGGGTTTTCCCCCCCCCACAAACCTATTACATTACACTGAGCTACTCAAACGACCCCAGTTTTCTTAGAATCAGACATTTTTGATCTATCAAACCATCACTGTTGAGCTAGTCTCTCTGTCAAGCTAACTACAATGCTGGCAGCACCATCAAGTGCAGTCACCACACTGGAGCTGAAAACTGAACGGCACAGGACCAGCCTTGCAACGGTGCCCAGAATACGTGACAACTAATCCTTTTACAGACAATTCTCAGAATACACATACTTCAGTAAAAGTATGAAACCCAATTAAAAGCTTTCCTGTAGAGTTTTTAGATTTACGGCATCGCTGTTTCTTTCAGCAGCAAAGTACTCAAAGGCACTGAGAATGTGAATAGTATAAAACCCAACTCCTTTATATCTCTGTCAAAATTTGTTTTCTATAGTATGGCTATGTCAGCTTCTGTGTGATAAAATACTTTAAAAATTTAAATTCAGTTTTATTAATATTAGTTCAAGCTATCAATTTTAAATTCAACTGATTTCAGCACTGAAATGTAGATTTGCAACAGCTGAAAATCTCCTACATATACAATAGCAAAAGGCATAACTAAAAATAAAATCATCATCTAAAGTTCCTTAAAGCAAGCAAAATAACTCTTGCAATAGATTTCCAAAATAACTGTGGAAAATTAACTCCTTCATTGATTTGACTACAGCCTTTACAGTAACACTTTGTACCAGAAGATGTGTAATCCTTCATTTCCAGCAGCCAAGTTGTATCTGTTCAAAACTATTCAGGAAAAGCATATTCTTGCTGAATGAGAAAAAAAGGGAAGTGTAATTCTAGTGATGAAACAGGCCAAGGTCACCTCAGTACCTCCAAAAATAAAGACAGTTTTCTGACAGTTTGTATTTCTGAGAAGAAATGACATGCACTTTCATATAGCAAATGTGATTAACTGACTTATAGTCCTCTCCAGGGTAATGCTCACTGAAATTCTGCTACAGCACACATACTATTCTAAACAATGTCCTTGTTGTTCAAATGCAATTTATTAAAAATGCTAAATTCACTCATCTGTAACTACAAAATAAAGGTATACTTGAATGAAATCACTCTAATAAAGAACCACATCGTGGCAGACACCCACTATCTCCAAGCTCATGTGGTTTAATATCAAGATTATAAATTGCCTCCTGTGACTGGATACAGCAACTGATTTTATGGCATATGACAGGATTCAGCAACACAATTCCTAATCAGTTTAGCTGAGGCAATTACACTAGACAAAACCTCTTCACTTGTTCAGTTGCTGTGGTTACTGTTGCCAAGCATTTTACCATCACCACTTTTTACCTGTGCTCTTGGAGAGTTCTCTGGTCAACCACCTCTCAAGAATAAACCCTCCAGCTGACCCAATTCAGCTCCCCAGAGCCTGTTGTACTGACATCTCTTCCATTGTGTAGTATTTTAAAGTATTTGGAGCAGAAAAATTAGGAAGCGAGGTCAACCAAATTAATCTCACAATTCATTATCTACTCTGTCTGTGTAATGTAAACCTATTTCCAGCATTCCTCCTTTTCTGAACTGTTGATCAGAAATCTCTTACCTTGTTCAACAGTCAAAGATGATCCCAGTGGTCATGCTTCATCTTTGAACAGTATTTCCAACTTCAATTTTGTTGAACAGAATTATTGCTTAGTCTTGGCTTTATTCGACACATTTTCAATACTGAGACCTCTCAAGTCTCATTCCTGCTTTTCCATTTTTTTTTTTTGGGTGGGGAACAGGGGAGGGGCAGGCAGGGGGGTTGTCAGAAGCAAAATTCTGCTTCTTTGCCATAATCAAGATAAAAGTGTTAATACTGTGGTCTTCAAGCTTTTATTATGTTGTAAGGTAGTATGTACTGAGTACTGCAAGTTCATCTCAGGGTCAAGTTCTAGGAGGCAAGTCCCACAAAAGCACAGATGAACTGTGATGAATCTATACCTGCAATTCCAGAGGAAAAACACAGTAGTCCCTGGATGCTTTAAAAAAAAAAAAACCTCACACTTGCAAGTTCACTTCTCCAGTTCTTGATGAAGTCTTGGGTTTTTTAAATATTTTTCCTGAAAGATCTTGTGTTGTGCTTGCCAACAGTACCTTAAATGGATCTCCATGACTCAGATTTCTTCATGGAAGTTACCTTCTGGTCCCACGAAGGCAGAATGTAGCAGAACGAAACTGATAGTTACATTTAACACTTTGGGTACAACAGACTGCCTTGAAACCAAAATTACACAGCTTAGGATGAAGTCTTACAAGGATTAGTTTGCTTTGAAGCATCATGTCACTCCACCATTTCAGTAAAACAGGGGTTAATACAGGAAATGGAAATGAAGGAGATGTGCAAAAGGGTCCCCGAGTCAGACTGGTGCCTTGCACATGATAAAAGTTAACTTTGGGGAATGTTAGCAAATAAAAAGGAAGCACTAAAGTACCTGGAGAGTAACTTCTTCCACAGACACTTCTCAGCATTTACCACATACCTGGTAAATGCAAATGGCTGGAATGGGATGGGTTGCAGCTGGTGGTCCAATAATGCCTTTGACAGACATTTGGGTTCAGAGACACAATACTGTGTATACACCTTAAAAGTAGCAAGATGGCCTATCTTTCACTTAGCTCATGGGTTATTTGTGGCAGCTGGGAAAAGAACAGTAACAATCACATTCAGTAACTTCTGGAGGTAATTTTAATATCAAATGCATTGGCATTCTCATAGCACATATGTAGCAAATCTAAAAAGCCAATCCTTTCATGTTATAAAATCAATTTAGAAAATTTTGTACATTATTTTTGCTTTTAAATATCTACAAACCAGTCAATCTGAAAAAGAATGAGTCACTTGATGATAAAAACTAACTTTACCATAAGAAAAACCCCAAACTCTTTTTCACAAGGAAACACTGAAAATATTCATCAATTAAAAAAGGGCACATATTTCTGCATTTTATCTTTCGTTTGTTTTACAATAAATACATAGATCAACCTTGTAAGTAATGCTGGTGTTGTGATTTAGGTACTGAACAACACAAACTCCGGGATGAGAGGGAGAGATGTTGGTGGGGTGGAGGGGAGGAGAGGTAGTGACAAACTACAGAATTAAAGTAGAAACAAAGACAAAAACCATACAGTAACTGTACTAGGCTGCTCACAGCTATACAGAAGGTAACTGCGCTCAGCAAATTGCTTTGTTTTCAAATTGCCTCTCTGCTCCAGCAAGAATGCTTCCTGGTTTGAGAAACAATAAGGGGGTGTGGGGAGGTGTTGGATGACTGTACAGAACCTGAAGTAATAACTGGATTTTCCAAGTGCTCCGTTTCAGAGTTACTCTGTCTTGAGGGAAGGGACCCTGAGAATTCTGCAACGACATAAAAATGTTTGCATTCTTTGGGTTGCTCTCAATTATTTTTACTCTCTATCCTACTTCCAGCTTTAAGAGCTCTAGTTTTGTACATGATTTCATGACACGAGGATTTTGTGGTTATCTGACACACTTTCTGAAGGGTGAGATGACAATTGAACTTACAGTGGAGAACAGGAGAAAACATCCTCTTAAAACAATCACCTTCTATCGTGCAGTAAGTACAGAAAAAAGTGTGCACATCAAAATGTTATTAAAATTTTATGTGATCACTATTTGACAAAAAACTACTTAAGTACGTAGGTCGACTGATAAACTTGTGCTAGTTTATCAAATCAAGTCTGAGTTCAAACACTCAATATTC